GGGCTATGCAAAGCTCTAAAACACATGTGTCAAACACAAGGCCCGCGGGCCAAATCCGTCCCGCCAGGCCTTGCAATGTGGCCCGCACCACGCTGTCATCACTGCACTCCGCTGCGTTTCCATCACAATGACAGTTTATGACTGTTCAGTAAACCATTCGGCCCGCGATTTAGGCTGGATTTTAGATTTTGGCCCCTTCTCTGATTGAGTTCAACACTCCTACTAAAAGCTGAATCTAGGAAAGGAATCTGGAGTTCTGCTCTTTTTCTCTTAGGCGTCTCATTCTATAAAACAGTGCACAAGGTATTTACAAGTTGCTAAACCAATTTGGAAGAAAAAACACAAAACACTGAGAATGGCAGTCTCATCTGTGTTTTTATTTATGAAATCTATATTAAAATGGAGTTCTATGCAGCTTTCTTCCATTCTGGAAACTACTTCCATTTGCATTTCTCAGATCCATTGTATTAAACTGTTTGGGTTTCATGCTCGATCCCCAATAGGGAGTGTGTAGGAGGCAGTCGATCAGTGATTCTCATCATTGATGTTTCTATCTCTCCCCCTCCCTTCCTTTCTGAAATCAATAAAAATATTTTTAAATAAATAAACTTAAAGCGTCATCAAGTATCTGTCATAAATATGATAAAAGATTTACCTTTAATATATTGAAAGTCTACACAATCCATAAGAAAAATACCCAAAGTGACAGATAAAAAAAAAGGGGGGGGGGGGGAGATTAGATGTAAAGTAAAATCACAGAAGAGGAAATGCAAATGGCTACTAAGTATGTGAAAAAGTTGTGTCTTAACATAATCAGTTATTCTGTGTCTAATCAGGAGACAGAAACCACGCAGTCATTTAAACACAGGTGTTAGGTATAAAGGATTATTAAGCTGTGATAGAAGAATAATTAAAAGATGGAAAGAGAATGCTAACGGGTTGCGTATGGCTGAGGAAGAGTGCTCCAAAAAGGAAAAGCTTGGGACAAGGGATTCAGAGTTCACTGGAGAAGGTGTGGTTGCAACCCACTGGATGGAGGAGAAGTTGGCTGGGTGACCACTTCCAGCAGGGCCTCAGCCACAGGGCAAGCAGGAAAACAACCTCTGGGAGGTGGGCCAGCTGGGGCAGGTGGGCAGGTGTGCAGAGAGACCTGGGACTTCGCTGCAGGTGCCAGGCTCAGATCACACAGTGTCTATGTCTGGAGGTCCCCAGGAAACTGTTTAGAGGAACAGGTAGGCTGAGCAGCAGGGTCAGCACAGAGCGACAAGGAAGCTGTTAGGACTGGAAGCTTTGAAGAAACCTAGGACAATTCTGTGCATGATTTGATTCTGTGGCACCTTTAAGGCTGCATGGGATTAAGGCCTGGCAAGTGGCTCACTAGATAGCCAGCCCACAGGGCCCTCTCGGGGAACATGAAACAAGTTGAGGAGAAGGTGCAGACAGCAATGATTTGAGTAGGGCACAGGCCTGCACTGAGGCTCCAGACTATGCCACCACAAACCCAATCAAAAACTGGGAAAGCAGTGGGAGAAATAAATGCTAGAGAAAGCTGCGAGCCACTGGAAACTGCACTGGGCAGAGCAGTGGAGAAAAAAGTCCCCCCACCCAGCCAGCCACCAGGAATCAGGAAAGACAGACTTCTTTCTATGGTGCTTCTCTAGTGCCCTCTGCTGGCAAATCATGGCATCCAAGCTGCAAAGAAAACATATTTAAAGGGCCCATATCCCTTTCACAAAGCTGACAGCAATGAATGAATTTGGAACAGAACAGCAAAAATAACTGGCATGTCAACAAAACACAAAGTAAAGTAAAATATGCTTTTTGGCCTATTATTAAAACAGTAAATATTAAAAAGTGACTATTAAATACTCAACAAATTACAATGGACTCTCAAACTACTGTAGAAATACAAATGTATATAACTTGAAAGCAATTAAACTATAATTTCATATTATAATTCTATTTTTAGAATCATATTGAAATAATGAGTCATACAAAGACATTATAAAAATATACTTACTATATTCCTATTTATTGTTGTCAAAAGAAACAAATAGCATAATTGTCAAAAATAGAAAAAAGATGAAAGAAGAAAAGAAATAATTATCTATAGAATGTTATGCAGCTATTAGAATTGTTCCCAAATAAATTTTAATGATAGGAGTAAATTCTTCTTATGTAAATAAGACTTTACACACAAATATTCTAAAATGTTTCCTATCCATAAAATTTGTGTTTATGTGTGTGTGAACACTGGTATTTGTACATACAACTCATGAACTAAAGACATGTTCAATGTGGTTATGTCTGGATTATAGAATTATCAATGATTTACTTTTTAAAATTTTTCTTTGCTTATTAAATACTAGAGGCCTGGTGCCTGAAATTTGTGCACTGGGAGGAAGGGGGTTGTCCCTCAGTTCGGTCTGCATCCTCTCCAATCTGGGACCTCTTAGGGCAGTGTTTCCCAAACTTTTGACATATGTGTACCCCTTCTATAATTTTCGTAATGCTGAGTACTCCTCATACTCATGAGAACGTAGAATTAGGCTCAGCTAAGCACTGTGCAGTGCATCTCCCCACCAAACTCCGGTGCAACACGTACCCCCACCAAACTCTTCCCGTACCCCTGGGGGTACGCATACCACACTTTGGGAAACACTGTCTTAGGGGATGCCCAACTGCTGGGGATTGGGCCTAAACCGGCAGATGGACATCCCTCTCACAATCAGGGGCTGCTGGATCCCAACTGCTAGCCTGCCTGACTGCCTGATTACCCCTAACCACTCCCCTGCCAGCCTGATAGATCTTAATTGCTCCCCTACTGGTCCAATCTCCCCCAACAGCCCTCCCCTGCCAGCCTGATCGCCCCTAACCGACCTTCCTTGTAGGCCTGGTCCCCCACAACTGCCCTCCCCTGCAGGCTGGTTGCCTCCAATTTCCCTCCCCTACAGGCCTTATCACCCACAGCTGCCCTCCCCTGCCAGCAATCTTATGGTAGCCATCTTGTGACCACATGGGAATGACCATCTTGTGCGAGGATGTGATGGTCAATTTTCATATTACCTCTTTATTATATAGGATTTTATAATGAACATGTGTTACTTTTTAAATTAGGAAATGGAAAAGCTATGATTAAAAAGTTAACAAAAAATAGCAAGTACATGCAAACAGAGTTCTACTACATGCTAAAAAGTTCAACTAAATTACTTAAGTGAGGTATTAACATCACTTCAGTGGTAGTTTGAAAATATATCCATAGTGGCTTTACACTCTTCTTTCAGGAGGTATAGCCTAATCTTCCTCACCTTACAAATGGTTTGGACTTAGTGACTCAACTCCAATGAATAGAGGAAAGCAGAAGTGATAGCACGTAACTTTGTAGACTAGGTCAAGTCATTGTGGCATCTTCCTTGCTCACCTTCATGGACCGCTGGCTCTGGGGAAAGCCAACTGCCATGTTCAGAGCAGCCCTGGGGAAAAGCTTACATGAGGAGAACAGAGACCTTTTGCCAAAATCCAACAATGAATTGAGGCCTTCCACCCAAGGCCATATGCATGGGCCATGAGATAGCCTTAATCAAGCGTTCAGATGATTACACCCCTGTCTAATTGCTATAACCTCCTGAGAGACCCTGGCCCAGAAAACTCGGCTAAACCTTCCCTGGATTCCTGACTCTCAGAAACTGTGTGAAATAAGAAATATGTGTTGTAGTATGCTGCTAAATTTTATAATAATTTGTTATATCACAATAGATAACTAATACAATTTCTAAGGCAAAAAAAAAATATGTTCACTTCAGAGTCATCTTTGCAAAATAAAAGAATATAAATTTTTGTCACAAAACCACTTATACTTGTCTTAATGGTTCAAATATTTCACCATCAGTTATACAATAGTTCAGATTCAATTCCAGATAGTATACTTATTGATAGAGGATACTTTGCTGTTCTTATTGTGTATAGAATGTGCTCAATAAAAGTCAACTGAATAAAGCCCTGAGTGAATTAGTGAAGAAGTAAATAAATTATCTGAAATATTTCTATAAAATCGCCTGTAAAGAGTCATCCTTTTTCACAAATATGGTCAAGCTGCTGAAGAAGTACAGGCTGCTGAAGAGCCTTTTCTATGTGATTTCCCCTGGTATGATGGTATAGTTTATTATCTCTTGGCTGTGCGAAATATTCAGATATTTCAGTGTTACTATTCGGTGTTACTGTGGCATCTTGTTTAGGGCTATTCGGATAGGTTTCAGAAATCGAAGGTGGCAAAATCCATTTGCAAGGCAGTAGATGAGGTGGTAAAGCTGGCAGGTTTACTATTATGCTGGTATATCTACACATGAAAGAAAAAAGTAATAGGATGCAATTAGAGAGGACAAAAACCTTTAATGGCATGCATTTGTCTTCTAAATTAATATGTAGTAAGCACTAAAATATTTCAACTTTATTTATTTATTTATTTTTACAAAAAGGAGATCTGGAATAGTAAAAAGTCCATGGTAAGTTCTTTATGCCATTTATGCCAGGATTTCTGGGGGAAATACTATTATAAACTGTCACTGAAAGCTCAATTTAATTTAAATATATTAGGATCCATTGGTTCCAATGTCTGTATCATGTATATAGCATAAAGATGGAAGACAAAATAATTATGAAAGTAACTTTATTACAAAGCACACTTCATTCAGTTCTTTGATTATCACTTTTAGAAGAGGTAGAGACAGAAACTCCAGTTGCATTTGGGATAACTTTTACTCCAAAAACCCAGTAGCCAGTTTCCAGTGGATGTGGCAGCCCATTACATCTACCTGAGGCTCTTCAAAGGTGCCGTGAAGTCCTATTTCTGTTGCTGATTCTAAGAAGCAGAAAGATTATGGGGGAAATGGAGAATGAAAGTGGGTTGTACAATAAGTAGATTTCTCTGCTGAGTAGGAAAGGAGAATTCAGTGTAGACTGGCTTGTGTTCTTGAGCAATGTTGTGAGTAGCTGAAGAATAATTGTTGGTTTGAATATTAGAACTGGGTTTCATTGTTCGTGAAGAATAAAATACAGATCCCAGCAATCACCCTCCATTGACATTTCCAGAATCATTTAGCCTCCCAAGAGAGACTGGCACTTTTCTATCAGTTTGGATGCCTAAGGAAAAAAAGAAACTAAGCACATGTGTGAGAGAGGAAAAATCAAACAAAAACATTTAAACAATTCTGACCCCTATATAGAAAATCTTTAAGAGTTCCCTATTTCATTCCTGAGTTGGGCTCTGAGTGCCTGCTTCTCACTGTCTTGGAATTTCTCACAAGCCCAGTCCTTTAGCTTAAGGATTTAATTAACTGCAATGTTTCTCCCACTTTCAGAACCCCAGACCTGTAATAAATAAAAATTTGCTGCCTCCTCACACACACACACACACAAAATATATATATATGAGATGCTTTTGCTGCAAGGCAAAATGGACATCAACATCAGCTTCTTACTGAATTTTAAAATTGTTCTAGGCTAATTTTGTGCTAAATCATCACACAGAAATTCAAGAGAAACAAACCCCTAAAATAGATCAGAATAGCTCTACCCCCTTTATATATAATGCTATAAACCTCTACATAAATTTCAGCAGTTTTCCCCAATTTTTACCTTCTAGATGTTATCCCAACAGAAATTATTTGTGATAAATAAAAGTGAGATTTTTAGTAAAGTAGGATGGGACACCCAGAACTCTACTGCTAAGATACACACACACACACACACACACACACACACACACACACAGAATAAAGGACTTACACTCCTAAGAGACCCCAGGATCCTGTGGAAAATGATTAGAAGTCGATTAATTTAGTCCTTCTTCCTGCCCTCAAATAGCACCATATTTGAGTTATCTAGAGAGATTAGAATCTATTTAGACTCATTTTAAAAAATACCTCTGGAGTTGAAGTATTATCATTTCTTTGGTAAGCCATGATTTTTATATCAATCTTCATAAGAACTTTGCCATAAGCAACCTCAAGATTCTCACATTTAATCTTGCTCCTTTTCTCAGAATCTAACAATATTGGGGGAACTCATATTTCTACATATCAGTCTTTCCTAACTTTATTTATTCCATAGTTTCTTGATAAATTTGTAATTTGTTATGATAAGAAATGCTGGGAAAGGAAGGAGAAATTTTTCGTAAAGATAAGGAAAAGGGATGCTCTGGAAAGGATTACTATTGTATAATAATGAAGAATGCCCTGAGTGAGATAAGAAGTGATAACTCCACATTTTGAGATAAGGCCCAAGCTAGATTTTGAAATACAAAATATGGACTTATCTGATGAAATGTAGATAACAGAAAAGAGAAAGAGGTAACATCTTTCTTACCCTGAGACCAAATCAGCCATTCTCTGATTTTCCTTAATGCTGGAGACTGCTAGCTGTTACCCTTCCTAAGACTTTGGGATAAACATTACCAGTTTATTTCTCCATATCCTTTGGGATATACTTTTAAATCCTTTTTCCAATCTGGAAACTCTTTGGACATAATTTGCCAATATACTTTTAAAATGTGTTGTCTCTCATATTTTCCAAAATTACAATCCAATAACAGTAAAAATGTACAAAATTTATTTAAATAATAAAGCCCTATCAATCCCATATTAATGTAAAAGACATTAATTAACTTCTGGGAAACCAAAGGAAAGCCTTTGATATGATTTTAACTGATATACCAAAAATGCAGAAATAGGAGCTCAGAAGAGTAACCTGAAGTGGTGTACCAGCACTAAAAGATCAGAGAGTCATTGATTCTGAGCTACTTTGGCTCCTGTCTGCTGCCTAGCCTATTTTTTAAACTTCCTAAAGATTCCTGAAGACACCACTATCCATTCAATAAATTAATTTTTACTTAGGTTAGGTACAATTTGATCCTGTTATTTACAACTAAAGAATCCCAACTGACATAGCGTCAAAAATACTGTGCAAATATATGTATAAATAATATTTAAAAATATGAGAACCCAGAAAGCTGATCTCCCTGAGACCATTTTAAAAAAATACATACAGCCCAGCTGGTGTTGCTCAATGGTTGAGCATTGACCTATGAACTCGGAGGTCACAGTTTGATTCCTTGTTAGGGCACATGCCAAGGTTGTGGGGCTTGGTCCCCAGTGGAGGGCATACAGGATGCACACCATCATGATTCTCTTTCATCATTGATGTTTCTATCTCTCTCCCTCTCCCTCGTCCTCAGAAATCAATAAAAATATTTTTTTCAAAAAAGAAAAAACATGTACAAAAGTAAACTTGGCCAAACTTTAAAGATGATGCATAGTTACCCATAATAAACATTTTAGAAGTAATTCTAACAAATTTTAATGAACATAATATATTTTTTAGATCACTTCTATCCCACTCCTTTAGTATGGGAAGAAACCCTAAAAGAAAATAGAAAAGGAAGGGGAGGGAAAGGAAAACTATTTGGGCTCTTCAACTATTTGGTTCAAGATTACTATTAGGCAAAAAGTGTGGGGAAAAGCACAAAAAATCTTGCTGTCATGCTAATGATGAACCAGAATCTATTAAATAGATGAAGCAAGCACAATTCCTACTCAAGAGCAAGAAAACTTTCTTGGGAATGCCCAGCACATGCTCTTCTGCAAAAGAGCTTATTTGTGTGGCTATGTGGTTGTTACTCAGGTAGATACATGTTTTCTGAATACTTCACAAAAAAGTAAAGAGGCTTCAAAATAACTAAATAAATCCTAGTATAGGTGATTATTCTCATTTTGAGTATCAGCTAGTCTGGGCGTCAGCAAAAAAAAAAAAAATTTCTGTAAACAGCCATATATTAAATATGGAGAGTTTTGCAGTTACCACAGTCTCCTAACACAACTTAATTCTGCAACTACTCAATTCTATTATTGTAGATAGAAAGCAGTGGTAGACATTATGTAAATAAATGGGCATGCCATGTCCCAATACAACTGTATTTACATAAACAGGAAGTGAAACCAATTTAGCCTGAGAGCTGTAATTTGCCTATTCTTTACTTAACCATAGATATATGACTTTTAATATAATGCACATAATATAGCTGAATAGGTAGAAAAGAACTACTGAAGATAATTAGGCATTCATGAAAATCGTTACCTGTATAAACATTTCCCTGGGCCATTGCTAAACTTAGCCCCAGTCCTAACCAGCCCGAGCTGGTTTTACAGTTTTGACTGTAAAGGCTGCTTTATTATTATTTTTTAACTTTATCCTTGCATTTTTCTGCTTACATACTATTAGCTACTGTATCCAAGTTTCTGTTCCTAAAGTCATGTCTTTGGGAGAGCAGTCCACCCCACCTTCTCTGTATTAATTTACATGAATATTCTGTGCCACCATGAAATTTAAGTCACACAACTTCATCATCTTACGAAAAGTCATTTACTTGTTAACTGTATGCAATTACATTAATTAGTAAAAACAGTCTCCTGGTAGGCAGTTCAGTGTGTATGCACAAAGAGATACTCTGTTCTGGCATTTATTCTTTCCTCTTTTCTCTAATTCCTAATCTAGTGATCTGACTACTGAGAAAATAAAATCTTTATGTTTCCTAGTTAAAAATTACATTTGACTCTTCCTGATTGTGCCCTTGAAAATTTCTGGAACAAAACTACAGTCAGTTCTTTAAATTGTTATTTCCTTAAAATTCCTCTCTATTTCCAAGGACATCATTTTTCTACAATTACCAAAGTCTTCAATTCACCTTCTTCCACTCACTCCCAATCCTAAACATCGCCAGTACATCTGATAGCATGACCCTTGTATTCATCTCTAAATCATGTTTAGCACTACTAGATTCCTCAAATAAATATAAATATTAACATATCCTTACACATCCTAAACCCAATTACACCAGTCGATGGAGACCAGCCATTTTCAACTTGTGTGCGGCAGAATTTTTAAAACATGCAATACCTGACTAGTTAGTCAGGGGCACTCAGTTCTTTCCCTTAGATTGTTAAATTAAAAAATGATAACAGCCAACACAACAATGGTTGCTGATGTGAATACCCTTTCTCTCATTAAAATATATTTAATTGATTTCAGAGAGGAAGGGAGAAGGAGAGAGATATTGTAGAAACATAAATGATAAGAGAGAATCATTGCATGCCCCCCTGGGGACTGAGCCCACAACCCATGCATTAAGCCATGACCTCCTGGCTCATAGGTCAGTGCTCAATCACTGAGCCACTCTGATCATGCATGAGTGCCCTGTCTTGAACCATAAATACGCACGCAGTCCTCGGGTTATGTTGGAGATCTGTTTCTACAGAGCAATGGAACTTGATTTTCGCAGTGAGTCAGAACCCACCTACATGAGCACCTATGTCACTCACATGGAGCACATATACAGCAGTAATGAAGTGAAACAGTAAAATAAATTTAAAAGAAAGATAACAATTCCTGACCTTTACTTGTGGTGAATAAGTAATAAAAACAAAAAGCGCATATGTAGATATGTCAAAATGACGGAACTTTTTTTTTTTTTTTTAATAAATAAATGGGAGATGGTGATGTAACCACAAAACAACGTACATCAAATCTGGTATAATCCGAGGACTGTCTGCATAGATCATATAATAGAGTTATCTTATTGGTCATAATGCATAATAAGATTGTGTCTGATTGGCTAATTCTTTGGACCAGAAATCCTCATATACAAGTATAGGCCACTGCTTTTTTTTAAAAAAATGTCACATTAGAGCAAAAAGGGTAAGTAATTATTATTATTTTCTTGTAAATCAATCAAAATTATACCTGTTTTTGGTCACATAGGCAAAAAGCATATTTTTTTATATGCTGAAGAATTTTAGTAATACTTTATGTGTGCCATGAGATGAAAAAGGTTGAAAATTGCTGATCTATTTTTCCTAATCCACTACAGATTGGAATGGAGAAAAGGGGTTTATTGTTGTTTTTTATTTTGTTTTTTAACTTTAATAAGTCCTAAGAGTGTTAAGAGAATAGACAAGGAGACAGGAATACCTCTTCTTGGAAACATGTTTCACGTTTTTCTGCTTGGCAGCACTTCTTCACCAGCTGAGTAAAATCCGCAATAATTGGCTGGAACTGCATCTCTGCTGCATATGGTCTCTGCTTCACAAGGTTGCTGAGGAGCCTGAATCAGAAATGAGTTGCAAAAATAAAAGCACCCCTGATTTCTACAAGAATAAACTCAAAATAGAGTAAAGGTTTAAATGTAAGACTCGAAACCATAAAAGTCTTAGGAAAATACATAGGCAGTAAAAATCTCTGACATTTCTGTTAGCAATATTATTCTGACATCTCCTCAGGCAAGGGGAAAAAAACAACAAAAAAATAAATGGGACTATAAAAAACTAAAACTTTTTGCAACAAAAAAATAAATGGGACTATAACAAACTAAAAGTTTTTGCACAACAAAGGAAAGCATAAAAAAAAAGAAAAGATAACCTACTACTTGGAAGAAAACATTTTCCAATGACACATCCAATAAGGGTGTTAATAATGCAAAATTTAGAAAACTCATACAACTCAACACCAAAATGACAATACAATTAAAAAGTAGACTTGGCATTTTACTAAAATGGACATACAGAAGACCAATATGACAATAGATATATGTAAAGGTGCTCAACACCACTAATCATCAGAGACATGCAAATTAAAATCACATTGGGATATCATCTCACATTGGCCAGAATGACTATTATCAGTAAATCAACAAACAACTATTGGTGAGAATATAGAGAAAAGGGAACCCTGATACTCTGTTGGTGGGAGTTTGAATTGATGCAGCCACTGTGGAAAATAGTATGGAATTTCCTCAAAAAAATTGAAAACAGAACTGCCTTATGACCCAGCAATTCCATTTCTGGGTATATTTCCAAAGAAATCCAAACCACTAATTTGAGAAAATATATGTATCTCTATGTTCATTGCAGCATTATTTATAACAGTCGAGCTAGGATGCAACCCACATGCCCATCCGTAGACTCAGTAAAAAACAGTGATACATATATACAAGGTAATGTCACTCAGTCATAAAAAAGAATGAAATCTTACCACTTGTGACAGCATGGATTGCCCTAGACTGAGAGTATTATGTTAAGTGAAATAAGACAGAGAAAGGCAAATACCATGTGATTTTTATTTCTATGTGGAATCTAAAAAACAAAACAAACAAATAAAATTGAAACACTCATAGACACAAAGAGCAGACTTGTAATGCTTTTGGATGAGAAAGAGCAAGGAGGCCCAGGGGCATGTGAGAAGGGCAGGAAGTATGGTGTGCAGTATATGGGAACTGACCCTCTGTCAGGGGTTGGAGGACTTTCAATGAATCCTGCTGACTCAGAGAAACCAGAATCTCACCCTTTGGCTTTTCCTAGAACAGTCACCTTTTGTTGATGCCAAATGGGCTTTCAATATCACGTCTATCCTCAGCAGAATTCATTCTAAAGGAGAATGCCTGGACCATGGGGATATCTTGGCTCTAGGCTCAAGATGGGGTGGGGTGAAGAGATGGATAATTGATGCCACTAAGAAGGATATATATTTTTTGTCTGCAGCAGCAAAGAAATAGCCCCTTTTCTAAGATCTGATCATAAGAGTTCCATTCCATCATCCAAGTGTATGGGATAGGGGAAATTTGGGGAAACATCAGTCCTTGTGAGCTCTTAATCACTTATGCTTTGGGTAGCCAGGGGAAAGAGCAGCTCCCCTAGGTGTGTGTGTTTGCTGCATGTGCTATTTCTAAGGCTAAGCTGGTCATGCCTCAGCCCTCAGTCACGGTCAGAAGTCTAAGTAAGTCTCCCAAATTATCTGTCATCATATGATGCTTCTACATCCCTATTCTGACCCATCTCCTACTGACCCTGTCTAACTCATCCTCTGTCTCCTTTGTAACTTAGGCTTTTTCATTTAAAAACTTCCCTGTATCCACAGCCTCTTTTCTTAACTTCTCTTTCTTGCTCTGTAGGAAAACATGGCTCCCCAGAGGAAACAGCTTTCCTGAGCCTCTAAAAAAGAAAGCTATTTTTACTTGAACTCCACTTACCTTACCACCTAGTTTTCTTTTGCTGCTTCCAACACATCCCTCCTCCAATGTCTTTTAAAAGCCATAGTTTCTTCTAAGTATATGTCATCCAGTTTATAACATCCTCCATCTCTATCTATTCCTGTCACACATAAGAAGCTTAGTCATGCCACCTAATTTTTGATGGCCTTAGACCCAATAAATTGCCTCACTTTCCATCATATCTTGACATTCATCATTGTCTATAATTTCAACAACTACATTAGTGATTCACATGAGACAGATTGATTACAAAAATGGACCAAATTGTCCATATTTCTCTGTATCCATGCCCTTTACATGTGACTTTCCAACTCTGCTTATCAAGAAGTAACATATATTTCTATATTCTTTTAATCTGGTCCTGCAGAATCTTAGTAGATTCTGTGGCCCAGAGAATGGTAAGTTAGAACTAGCTAAATAGACTATTGCAGGACTTCTCCAACTTCCATGGTTAATGGAAGGTATACATTTCTGAGAAGAGCAAGAATCAAACTTATTTGATCATGGAACCCTGTTTTTATGTACTTCTATGTCAATATTTCCTGATTAACATACTTCAGTCTCATTTTCTGATCAAGTTTGGGCAGCACCCATGATAGCCACAATTGCAGAATTGCATAATATTCTCAATTCTACTTTACCTCTTAACATAATATTTAGCATCTCCATTCATTATGTAGCACTTAATATCTACACCTGCTTTATGGTTCTCTATACTTGTAGAAATGAACAAATTCAACAAAAATTCTTACTTTTGCTTTCCAGTTTGGATTTCTTCCTCTTGAGCTTTGCACAAGTCCTCTTTAATGCTGATAATTTGGTCATAGGATAAATATGGAGAAATATAAGTTCCATCAACTTTTAGACCATCAAAGCATAGCTTTCTGAAGGCATAGGAATCATCACAACAGTGACCCACACCAGCATTGATAGGTTGTGTCTCATGTCTTCTGCATAAAGCTCCAAGAATTAGCATAGCCTTTCCCAGAAGAGAATTAAAATAAGAGCCATTAGGTTTGCAGCTGTTATTTTCTTACCCATAGAAAATAAGGTTATATTTAAGTATTCTAAAATTCTAGTGCCTGCTCTGTCAGCCTTGAATTTACTGTTTGGGGGAAAGGAAGAGTCAGGTGCATCTTAGTTCTGAGACTTGGCTTCCCTCGTCCTATCACCCTCAAGTTGAATTCACCCTATGAATCTCTGTATCTGTATGCTCATCTCTGTCCTTTATCATATCTTTTAATCAACTGATAAACCTAAGGAAGTGTTTCCCAGAGTCATGTGTGTGACTCTAGCAAATTAATCAAACCCTAGATGGGAGTTGTGTGAACTTCTGTATGTAGCTAATCTGTCAGAAGCATAAAAGAATGTCTCCCAGGGACAGAATGACTTCATGTTTACCTGTCCTTGAAGTTCTAATCTCTAACCCTTAGCAAGTACAGGGTACATCTATGACCTGTCCATAGAGCCTAATAATTCTGTCCCTGGGAGACATTCTTTCAGGTCATTCTTTCAAGTTGGCTTTGATTAGCAGCAGGGGTAAGGCTATCTCTTCCCTAACATTGGGGATATCAGACTCAGCAGGCCTGAGCTTGAATCACACCCCTTGTTCTATTTCTTGGATTTTTGTTCTATTTCTTGAAAAAACATGTACTTACCACGTCCTCCATGCAGGCAAACTGCTGTTCATCACTCAGAGGGCAACATTTGGTGGCAGCAGCCGCCATGTTCTTTGTGAACATGACCAACTCTTGAGCAGATAGTTGTGGGGCTTTCTTAGTGTAAAGGACCAGGATCCTGAAAGAGTAAGTTCCTCTTACAATGGCTGTGTGCCTAAAATGAAGAGTTCTGCAGAGTTTTCCTCAATATTTGACATTGTCTCTGATTGAGGTTGAACATGGCATTAAGCTGGGTTTGTATTCTTAAATTGTATTCTTTTACCTTGTTCCAATAGCCCAGTGGCTAATTCAATATACCTGGCATTCTCTTCCAATCTCACACATTGTAGTGTTAACTATGTTGCCTAGAGAAGGGTTAACACATAGAAACACTGCCACTCTGGGAGTTTTCTCTGTAGCTTTCATGCGACCTTATTTATGGGGAATAAATAAGTTTATGCCTCTAATTAAACCAGTATTCAGTAAAATCCTATTTTTCTGTTTCTGTTTACTGGGAATATTCAGCTTTATAGATTTTTTTCTCTCAATAGATAATATTTGGAAAAATTTCACTGTCATGTATAATGTAGAGACGTGAATATCCATAAAAGTTTTCAACTTGTTTCTGTTAAAACTGTATCTTTAGGAATATAATTTGAATAGATTGGTCTTGTCAGACTCTGAAGACTTCAGTAATTATTGTCTTCAGGGACAAATAACCTACAAAAATTTTGCTCTACTTATCAAGGATAACTATGATAGCTAATTTGGATTGCTGCAAAATCAAACGTGAACAGTTTCCAAAATAAATATATGCATAGAACATTCAAGCTGTTATTTGTTGTCTACAATGTGAAAGAATAGGTACTACAGCAATGATCAGGAAACAATCAGTAGGTATCACACTCTAGTGGTGAGAGAGACAAGTACACTTGGCGGAGTGAGAGGAGCAGAGTTCTGTAGGTGCACATAGAATGTAAGTGCACAGAGAAATTGGACAGGCCTCCTGGAGGAAATGACATGTGAGCTGAGATCTGGCAATAACTAAAAATGAGCTGGGTTAAGAGGAATGAAAGTGGAAGGAGAGCCTTTTGGAAGTCATTGCATATGATTTTTCCCCCCTTGATTGCGGGGTAGCTGTAGAAAGGAGAAGAAAGATAGCTTAGTAACAGAATTAGATTTACATTGCTTTTAACATAATCATGGTTACTGTATAAAGAATGGATTGGAGCTAAGGGCAAGGAAGTGTGAGTGAAGAAAAGATCTGGAGGTCATTCCAGTCATTTAGGTGAGAGATGGTTGTAGCCTGAAGTTGGAGAGTGGTGGTGGGAATTGAGGGATATAAAGAGAGATTTTAAAGAGAAACACTCTAAAGACTTGGATTTGAGGAGCATAAAAAAATCAGAGTCAATTCTTGCATTTATATTGTAATGGAGTTGGGGAACAAATTTAGCTACAACATCCAATAAAACAGTCATCCTAACCCAGTGGTTCTCAAATTGTGACTCCTGGACAACCTGTATCAGCACAACTGGGAATTTGGTAGAAGCCCGGACTTCCAAGTCCCATCCCAGTCTTAGGAATCAGAAACTCTTTATGTGGGGCTGTATTTTAACAAGTCGTCTAGAGTATAGGTAATTCTAAAGTTTGAGAACCCGAGGTCTAATCCTTAAAGTAGACATTAGAAGTTGAACACAACATAAAAGTAATAAGCAACATATTCTCTCTGATTTTTCTGTATCCATTATTCTGGACATTTAATTTAAGACCAATAATACTATGGGACACTATGTCAAACAGAACTTTGCCTCAATAATCTTTTTCTAAATAGACTGTTGCAATGTGATCTTAAAGACTTCTAAAATTTGGCTTTTGCTTTTTGATGTATTAATCTTTGAAATACAGTGGGATTTACCAGTCTCTCTGCACATAATAAGTGTGGGCTCTCTCTGGCAATTAACTAAGGTATCTGTACTCTCAGTGGTGACAATACTAAATTTTCTATATGGATCTGATTTGAAATGGACACAGGGACCCTACATTAGATCTCTGTTGTAGCTTTGGCTCAAAAAATTGCAGGCAAAGCCCTAAGCTAAATGTCCAGGTGTGTGGGAGGGAGGTCCTATGGGTTGCAGAAAGGCAGCCAGGGCCTACTTGGCTCCTTAATCTCTGGGCATTACCTGGAATCTGGAATCTGGCCTGGAAAACAGAGGAAAAGTTATGTGGTCTTCTATCTTATGGAGACAAAGATAGCTAGGCTAATTCTGAACGGATTTTTCCCTTAGCCTCTGAGGTTTTAAGGTTGGATATAGACTCTTTGAAACTCTCAGCATCAGGAGTCAGCAAAAGCTCATTAAGCAAGTATAAATCTGTACAATATCTTACAAGCATACCTGTCGTGGAAGTTACTGTCTCCTAATTGCTCAAGCAAATCACAATGATTTTTAACACGCTTGTGGCTTTCATGAACTACTCTTTGGAACATCTCTTTCTGAAAAATAAAGATAATCAGTGTTTACCTATCATTGTAACAATATATCTCAGGTAAAATTGCAAAACCATCTTCTATAAGAATTTACTGTAGCTGTTTTTTAAAACCAGGGGCTTTATTTACTTATGAGTTAACAAATCTTGAAAAACACATTTTGCTAAAACAGAAATGACCATGTACTTTGTGGGAGAAAACATGGGACAGTGAAATTAACATTTAGCATTCCATGATAAAAACTCACTGTGATGAAATAGCGAATTTTACATGCATAAGCTAAATCATTCATCAAGCCAAAAAGAGATCATTAACAGTAGTCTATAGATCTAAGTTTAAATGTGTGTGTGTGTGTGTGTGTGTGTGTGTGTGTGTGTGTGTGTTTACCGGTTATTTTTTAATAATACTGTCTTTTTACATAAACAGCAAATATAGAGAAAAAGTACAAGTAAATAAATATGGACATGTATTAAGAAGTGGTGGTGCAATAAAAACATGCATCCTTGAATATAGTAAAACACTAAACAAGTCCACATTAAATGAATCAAAGGGAATTCTCAGTAATAACTACAATATAAATTCAGTTTTTGAACTCACAAATTAATTCTGTTGGGAAGATACACGTGACCTTGCAAGCTGAATACTTTGGTAAGAGCACCAAACCAAGTCCCTCTGATCCTGATAGGCAGTGTTTGTTGTAGGGAAAATTTTGCTTGACATGCAAATTGTTTCCCTTCACCCTCCACTCTCACCCCCACCCCACACTCTATAAGTATGTAAGCCATTGGGTTAGAATAACAAAAGCCTATTTCCTGATAAACCCCCCAAAACACCAATCAAACAATCAGATGTGTAAGGCCACCTGTACTTTTTCATGTCAAATGCATAACAGGAGCTGCTGCCTATATAACAATATGATTTATGGCCAGAAATAGGGACAGTTCCAGGCCTGCTTGGTAGCAATTGTCGACCTTCCCAACAGGCTGGGCTGTCATGCTACCTGCTACCATGCCAAGCAGACCTTGACTTTAAAGAGGAGATTGCTCAGTGAAGCTTCCAGGACGCACAGAATCTATAAGGCAGTGACTTGCACAGAGAGTCATTGTGGTATGATGATGTGGCCTTTGGTTTAGACGACAGTGATATTCCATGTGTAGTGAAATTAGCCAGAACATGTTTGATCATCTTACGAAAGTATGGCAGTACTAACAGAACTGGGTTTTTTCCTGTGCTTGTAATCACTTATGAGAAATAGGTTAAGCAATAAAAAGGCATTTACCCCATGGCTATAGCATTCCAGAGGATTTTCTAATTTACAGCATTTTCCCAATAACTTTTGATATACTGAATCCACTTTGCAAAACTTTCTTCTTGGAAAAAAATTTAATAATGAATTAAAAATGCATTGACCGAATTTTTTGCATCAAAATCACAAGAATTTTACAACAGAGGGATTAAAATGCTTCCTGAGCATTGGGCACAAGTAGTAGAAAACAACAGCAACTATATTGTTGATTAAATTTTGTTGTATTGTTTAAATAAATTCAATTTAAAAAAGTATTAGAAAACGACATTAATTATTACTAGACCTAATATTATACTTACATACATTTACCTATCTATATATATGCACACACAGATAATTGTGCGTATGAATAATCTAGTCTCTACACTTAAGCAACTCACAATCTACTTGGAGAATCAAACAATTAAACAATAATAATGCATTATATCAGTATTTGTAAGAAAGGTATACTAGTATATATGATACTTAGGAAGAAAAAAGCAATATGTAGTGTGAACATCTTGAATAATTTAAATCTTAAAGGACATATAGAAGTTAGTTGGAAACAAAAGAAGAGGAAAAACATTCTAGAATCATTCATCCTTATATGTAAAGATTCTTAGAGGTAAGAGAAAACTGTCACACCAGTTTCTGTCTTTATCCCTGTTCATATCACAGACAAGTTCTTTCAAACCTTCACAGAAAGGTAACTCTCAATATTATTTAATTTATGTCAGAAAATTCAAAAGGATAATAATTCTAATTCATTATTTAGAATTTAGCATAACTAAATACCAAAATCTGATAAATGATAATTACTTTTTCAGATTCATTATTTACCACTCTCACCTTTATTTAAGCAATATAGGGTTTTTTAATTAACTAATTGGGGTGATATTTGTTAATAACATTATGTAAATTACAAGTGCACAATTCTGTGATACCTCATTGCATTGTATGCTCAGCACCCAACATCTACTACCATATAGTTGATTCCCTTTAACCTTTTCATCCTCCCCCCCATTCTTCTTTCCTTATGGTAAGAATTATAAGTATTTTAAAGGCTGGAGTGAATTTTGAGAAGACAGAATATCTTACCCTGCCAAACACACATGCTACTGCATTTCCTTCACAACAGGTCTGATGAAGGTTTTTAATATCAGTAGCCAGTTTGGCAATTTCAGAAAAGTTAGCATTAGGTTGTTTTTTAGTCAAAAGAACCAATTCCCTGGGGGGGGAAAAAAACAAAAATAACAAAACAAAAAAAACATTTTAAACAATATTGTAAACTTGATCATTTTTGAAGTTAGTTCTAGTTCATTGAGTAACCAAAAGGATAGAAACACATTGTAAATGTAGGGTGACGAGTGTATTCTAAATGCTTTCTATTTCTTCAATGATGGCACCCAGAGTCATACAATATCTAAGTTACAAAACAAACATGATTCAACTCATAGTCATGGATAATGTAGTCATTTTAATCATTTAAATTATTGCTTAAAGACTTGAGCTGCCTAGAGTAGTGATTTGGGTATTTACGTGATCTGATTTTCCAAGTAAAATTCTTCATCACAAAGACAATAAATACAGGAGCCTTGGGTCTCCCTTGCCTTTCTCTGTTGACAACTGAACAACATCCCTGAAATTTCTTGGGAAATAAAGAAAATGCGCCTGCCCTGTAAGGAGAACTGAGCTTCTAGGTAGCTCAGTGTTGTCCTAAATTGTAGAGAAAGATAATATAAGGCAGATGCATGTTTATAGGGGCAACTTGACCAGAAACACAATCTAGGCCCGGAAAGAGGCATCTTGGATAACATCAAATTCTTCTCCCATTTCCTACTCCTCCATTCCCACCCCAAGAAACACCACTGACTTCCTCTATTCTGTGTAACATTGAAACCAATGTTTTCCTATCTTATCAGAAAAAAAAAGAATAGCTTTTGTCCTCCAGCCTTTACCATGCAGAATAATTGAGTACCTCCTTCTGTATATGAAATCCGTTGTGCACTGAGGAAGAGACTAAGGGTGAGCAGATAGAAAAAACTGAGGCAGGAGATAATGGGAGGAGATGACAATTGAGCAATTTCATGCCCAGCCGTGTGCCCTATTACACAGGCAGGGTAAGTAGCATATGTGTAGAGAAAAGAACCTGGTCTGTTCTGAGAGACATTATTAAATGAAAAATAAATGATTTTTCAAATGAGTTTAATCAACAGGGGTGATCCAGAAACAACAAAGTCCAACAATCTGAATAGGTAACTTACACTGCTTTTGCTACTTTGTGGTTGAATTTAGTCCCAATTTCACATAAATGATGATGCCTCAAAGATATTTCTCTAATGTATTTTGCGATGGGTTGTAGCTGTAATTAGAAAAAACAAACCTCAGAGAAATATGGTAGTTATTTTCATCATTCGTAAAGAAAAGAAAAAGTAAAAATTGTGTTTTGAAAATTTTTTCAAAAGTAGAAAAAAATTAGTGTCAAATTTAAAGAGGCCAAATGCAACAGCATAATTTTGGGTTGGTTTTTTTTTGTGTGATATATATATATATATATATGTGTGTGTGTGTGTGTGTGTGTGTGTGTATACATCTTTCTCATAGATCACTTGTTCCAGTGATAAAACATTGGGAATGTAAATGAGAATAAGATACTGAGCAAAGGGAAATCCAAAGAGCCACTAGAATACATTCAATATTACTTACAGTTGTATTTTGGTTTTATTCAAGTAACTCACTCTTTCATCTTGGACATGTGTCCAAGTGTTATCTATAATATATGTTTTCGTTTTACAATATATATTAATACAGTCCCCTCAAATATGTTAATTCTTTAACTCGGGATTTTTACTTTTGAAACTATTGCAAATAAACTTTTCTAAATAAATAAAAATGAAATTACTCAAAAAATATATTTTATGATAACAAAAATTTGGAGACAAATAAAATGTTTTAATAGCAGAGAGGTGGTTAACTTAAAAATAGCACATTTTTCAAAAGATGTATATTTCTAATAAAAAATAAGATGTTTTAGTCTCTATCAAAACTCTATATTTAGTGTGATTTCACAATGTACAAAATAAAATCTGTAAAGCAAAAAATACCAAATTTGATATTTCTGAGTGGTGAAAATATAAGTAATAGTTTAAAATTTCAGAAGCAGTCTATATTTCCACTGAAAACATTATATTGACCACACAATGCTTTTACTTTGGGCAACTGCACCTTACAATTGTATTTTTAAGAAGAAATTAGAAAATATATACAAAGGAAATATTCAAACCACAAAACTGATACAATAATTATAATTACATTTTTATAATTAATTATAAACTAGAGGCCCGGTGCACAAAATTTGTCCTCAGGGGGTGTGTCCCTCAGCCTAGCCTCCACCCTCTCCAATCCCAGTAGGATCGGGTCTAAATGGGCAGTCAGACATCCCTCTCACAATCTAGGACTGCTGGTTCCCAACTGCTCACATGTCTGTCTTTCTGATTGCTCCTAACCACTTCTGCCTGCCAGCCTGATCACCCTCTAACCACTCCCCTGACAGCCTGATTGATGTCTAACTGCCCCCTCTGTCAGCCTGGTCACCCCTAACTGCCCTCCCCTACAGGCTTGATCACCCCCAACTGCCCTTCTTTACAGGCCATCTTGTGTAGCTATCTTGTGTCCACATGGGGCAGCCATCTTGTGTGTTGGAGTTATAGTCAATTTGCATATTGCTCTTTTATTAGATAGAATATCTTTTTTGTCTTTAATAATACACATTTGAAATTAAGTACAAACAAACTCATTTATCTATGCATAAAAGGTTAAGTGACCATTATGACTGGTCAACCAGTTGCTATGATGCACACTGACCATCAGGGGGCAGACACTCAACTCAGGAGCTGACCCCTGGTGATCAGTGCACTCCCACAACCAACCTCCTGCAGGAGCCAACCCCCAACCTTCTACAGTCCCTCCCCCTGGCAGGCTAGCCCTAATCAGCTCCAATAAGGACTGGAGGCTATAGTAGGCCCTGATATCCAGCCAGGCTGAGGGACTCCACACATACACAAATTTGTGCACCGAGCCTCTAGTTTATTTATAAGAGAGCTTCTGAATATTTAGTTCATAAGGTTATGTCTGATCACAGATATAATTTTTTCACAGATGGTTATGTAATTTTATCTGAGGTTGGGAGCCAGAACTGCTAGGAACAGACATCTTGGAAACAGTGAATCTAAATATCACAAAGCAAGGTAGAGAAGAAAAGAACTCTTAGCTAACTTAAAAACATTTGCTTATGCTTAACATTATAGAGGCACATTATACATGAAGGAAAAATTTTCATTGCAAGGATTAAGGTTAAGAAAACTTTGTAACTTAAAATAGTAAGCAGCAGGTTACCTTGAAAATGCATCTTCATGAAAATGCTCATTCTTCAGAAATACCAGATAATGAAACATAAGTTTGCATGATCATTTACTTTTTGTTTTTTATTAATATAAAACCAAAAGCAATAAAAAAGACTGTTCTACTAGGAATACAGAATTGGCTTATGAAAGAATTGGTGTTCATTAAGAGAATGAAGAGGTAGGAAATATTTATATATAATCTATATATATTCTATATAATAAAACGCTAACAGGCAAATCGACTGAACAGTGGAGCTACTGGTCACTATGACGTGTACTAACCACCAGGGGGCAGACACTCAAGCCAGGAGCTGCACCCTGGTGGTGAGTGTGCTCTCATAGGCGGAGCGCCACTCAACCAGAAGCTCCCCTGGCTGAGTGGCGCTCCCCCTGTGAAGTGGCGGTGGCAGGAGTGTCTCCCGCCTCTGTGTCAGCACTAAGCATGTCCGACTGCTGGCTTATGCTTGCTCCCTGCAGCCTCGGACTGCAAGAGGGCACAGGCCAGGCTCAGGGACCCTCTCCCAAGTGCACAAAATTTGTGCACCTTCTAGTTTAATGATAATAGCTATAATTATTGCAGAATTAGCATATGCCAAAAAACACTTTAGATATATAATTTAATTTCTTACACAAGGTAGATAATAATGAGCTCAATAGGAAAAACAGATATAAAGGAATAGAGAAATAGCAGTTTAGAGAAATATGAGATGAAAAATCTCACTGAAAAGATTAAAAAAAACAGCAAGGAAAAAGCAGCACTGCATTTAGCCTTGAGGAATTCATCAACATGATTATCAAACTACTAGTCAATTCATAAGAACCTTTGGAAAATCCATCTGGTGCCTCCTCTAGAAAAAAATGGTTATTGTATGTTGATATTTAGAACCTTTAATTTGCATACGCAAAACATACTTTTATCATGAAATTAATCACATTTACAACTATCTATAGAATAAAGAGCCAGGGTTTAACAACCATTACAACCATAGGCTTAACCAGGCTGGAAATCGGTGATGGGTTGCCGTGGCAACACAGCACTGACTGGGGCCACTGCTGGTGCCTGACCCAGCACTGACTGCTTAGGAAGCTGCAGATCAGGCCCAGAGAAAGGCCTGCAGAGAGAGGCAGAGTCTGATCTGTAGCCTCTGTGGAAGCCATTGACCAGGCAGAACTTGCCTCTTTCTCTCCCAGCCTGGTCAACAGCCACCTCTATTTCTCTCCAGGCCTCCACCAGGGCTACTGATTAGCCCTGCCTTTCTGATAAGACCCCGATGATAGGCCCAGATACGCTGACTGGCATAGAAACTGACCAATCAGAACCAAATTGGCCTGCAGAGGAGGGCAGTTGTGTGCAAGATCAGGCCAGCAGGGGAAGGCAGTTAGGGATGATCAGGACAGCAGGGGAGAGCAGTTATGGGTGAGATCAGGATAGCAGGGAGGACAGTTGGCAGCAAGATCAGGCAGGTAGAGGCAGTTGGGGGTGAGATCAGGCTGACAGGGGAGAGAAGTTGTGGGCTCAATCAGGCCAGCAGAGAAGGGCAGTTAGGGGCGATCAGATAGGCAGGCAGAGGCAGTTAGGGGCAATCAGGCAGGCAGGCAGAGAGGTTAGGGCAATCAAGTGGGCAGGCAGAGGGGCTAGAGGCAATCAATAGGCAGGCAGGTGAGAGGTTAGGAGCCAACAGTCCCAGATTGTGAGAGGGGTGTCTGGCCACCAGTTTAGGCCCAATCCATCGGTCCTAAATCAGCGGTCCGACATCCCCCAGGGGTTATGGGTTGGAGTGGGTGCAGGCTAGGCTGAGGGAATCCCCCCTCCTCTGTGCATGAATTTTGTGCACTGGGCCTCTAGTTTATACAGAATTTAATGAAGGACAAAATGCCACATGGTTAAAGTTAAGTGTGGCTGACTATATTCCAAAGATGACTACAGCAATATTTTCTATCCTATGCTCTTCTTACAGTGAGATATTGACAGTTCTATCAAGAGGTACAGGCTTATTATTTACTGTCCCCTTCAAATTGATGAGTTTTTGTGATGTTTTAACCATAGAGTATGGCAGAAGTAACATCTGACTCTGGATCATGAAAGGCCATACCATTTCTGCTTTAGAACTAGAATATTCATTCTTAAAGGCTTTGGCCATGGGAAAGCAGTGGAATTGCCCAAGGCTGCCATGCTGTAAGGAAGCCCAAATTAGTTGAGGCATTGTGGACAATGAAGAGGCGCTATAATTAATCTCAAAAAAAAAAAAAAAAAAAAAAAAAAAAAAAAAAAAAGCTCACAGGATGATCTGATCACAGCTTCCTAACTGGGCCCATATGGTGGGCTGACATTTTAGCAGAATGTTTCTCTTTCCCTCAGCAAGTCCTGCCCATTGTTTCTGTACATCTATGTTAACATCTTTGAAATGCTTCATGATCTTGTTAACTATCCTGAAAGCCAAGCCCTGCCTAGCTTTCTCCCACCTTTCTGTAATATTCTTTAGCTTCATTCCCTCCTTAATTTCCAATGTATAAAACTTCCACAAGGTCATTTCCCCAAGCATTTGAGATTTTGGTTCCTGGCAGTATCATCAGTTTGGCTCAGATAAATTCTTTTGAAAAATACCTATAGGTTTTTGCATTCTTTTTTCAACAGCAGAGAGACTGCTTTCAGAGGCCCTGAGATTATTTGAGAAGAAAGAGATGTTGAAGCACCCCCCTTGTATTTCAGCCCTTCAGAGTTCTAGACCCAAGAATTGTCTGACTATAACCACATGAAAAGCCATGAGAAAGAAGTGATCAGATGAGTCCTTCCTCAAACTTTCATCAGAAATTATGAAAGAGAATAAAATTATTGTTTTGAGTCACTAAAATTTGGGGTGTTCTGTTATGTAGCAACAGTAGATAAGATTTAAATATTTATTATAGAGTAATATCTATGCTAGATCATGCTCCTCAAATTTATATAACTATACACATCGCCTAAGTATCTTGTTAAAATGAAGTCTTGTCTAGTAAGTCTGGAGAAGAGCTGCAGATTCTGCATTTCTAACAAGCTTACAGGTGATGCATATGCCATTGGTCCACAGCCCACACTTCGCATAGCAAGGCCCTGAATAACAGTTGACATATGAGTATCTTACCTTTATCTGGAAGCATTCAGTCTTGTTTTCTTCTTGGCAACATGACTGAACAGCTGTTTCATAGCAAGAAGACATGGCCAGAATAGTGGGTCCATACAAGAATGGATGCTTTCTAGAAGTTTCATAAATGTACCTGTAATGTGACAAACCCAAAGTTGTGAACTTTAGAGTTCAAAAACATATGCTGATACTGTTTCTTAAAAATTTAGGATTGCCATAGCCGGTTTGGCCCAGTCAATAGAGTATCGGCCTATTGACCAAAAGATCCTGGGTTCAACTCTGATCAAAGACACATGCCTGGGTTGCAGGCTCGATCCCCAGTGGTGGTGTGCAGGTGGCAGCCGATCAATGGTTCTCTCTCATCATTGATGATTCCATCTCCCCCTCTTCCTCTCCCTTCCTCTCTAAAATCAATAAAAATATATTTAAAAATAATTTAGGGTTCACTTAGTTTTGTTTACCTGTACCACATAGAATATCATGGTGAAAGATATGAACTAGCACTATACTTAAATGCATCAAATGTTCACAATTGGGTAGATTACTATGAGGTTAGTCAGACATTCCGAGTGCCCATGAGTGACCAACTATACCTCTGGGGTAGTGGGGAGGAAAAGAGAATCAGTAATCAAAACTTTTCACTCTTACATAAGCAAAGAAATTAGAAAATTTAATAGTCTAAACTGAATTGTAAGTGCAGGATTATACAGGAGTACAGAAAAGTTAAATTTAGAAGTTCTTTCTAGACTAGGAAAGTTGTGCTATCTTTTCAGTCCAAAGTAGCTGACTTTTTCTACAATTTTTATGTAAATTACTGTTTCCTTGGTTGAGAATTAATTCAAGTTCTTGACTTATAACTATAAAGCAAGTAGTTAGAAAATTATTTGTCCCTTAAATATTTATAGTTGTATACACATAAGTTAAAATAAGCATATAAAATAGTCTCTTAATCATTGACTTTATTGTAAATATTCAAGAAGAGGTTAAATTTGCTGCCTGAGTATTGGTTAGAATTTTTAATCTCTGAAAGTTCAACCCAAATCTGATTCTATAATTCTCACCTACAGTAAATAGGTAGCCATTTTTCTGATCCCATTTGGTTGCCCTTAATGTCAGACAAGTTGGTACCCTCTCCAATTTCTGTACCATCATCCTTTTTCCCTGTGTGGCTAAGTCCATTTAATTTTTTCATGAAGGCTCAGTAATTGCTGCCGCAATTCTGCCCTTCTCATGGGTGAATTTAAAAAATTAGCATTATTCAGCATTGTCATGCTGTCTGCCCACTCATCTCTGGCCCAGAGTTTCATGACTAAAACCTGAAACCTAACTTCTTTTATGATCTTGCACTCTAGATCCAGCAATCAGATCTTTGCCTTATTCTTGGTGTCTGAGCCTGTGTTGGTAAGATGGTCAGAACTGGATTCCCTGAGAACTGAAGCCTTGTATTTCTCTTGTCATTTCTACTTCTCTGTTTATTGATTTCCTGCCTCTAAACCTCAGTCACTTGCTAGCAAACTGCTCTCAAAGTATAGAGTCCTGTGTTAACTAGAAAATCAAAATGTAAGCTTGCCTACTCATTTGCCTTATGCTGTCCACTCCAGGTGGAAATTATAGAACCAGAGTTTTTGAGTAGAAAACTCACCCCTGACATCTACAATTGTTACTAACTTATTCCTATTGTCCCAATGACAGCCTCTGTGGCCACACTTATCAGATACCACCCCTCATATCCCCTGATGAACATCCCAAATGCCAGCCCCTTGCCTGAGGTATTACCTGATCTCTTTCTCTAGTACTCTCTGTTTATTATGCTTTACATGCTTGACTGTACATTTCAGCATCATTTGCTTCTAGTTTGACTAACCTAACCTTTAAGGAGATGGGTGCATTATAGGTTCTATAGGTTCTAGTCACTTTCAATTTTTCATGGCTCAGACATTTCCATACCCTAACTGAGTTCACTGAGACCATAATTGTCAGTTGGGGGGGAGGGTGGAGGAATATATATATATATATATATATATATATATATGCTCAAATTTTCACTTTAATTCCATGTAATAGAGCATTGTGTTCTCAGAGGTTGTTATGTAAAAAAGACCTGTCTTCAAAATTGGAAAATACTCTTCTTCAAAGACAATGGCAAGGAGAAACGACTTACCTCTTCTTCACTAACACTTGATTCTCTTTGTTCACCTCACAAATCTGCTCAGGATTTGGAATTTGCAATATTTCCCTGTAATCTGCTTCGTCTTTTTTTATTTAATAGGAAACACTTGTGTCTTGCTGTGTTATTTACAATATATTGCAACAGTCAGAATATACATGTTTGTCAGCCATTCCTTGATTATTACATATATGTTCTAAGAAGGTGGCCATCTGTAGGAGGAAATAATAACTTAAAAAGGAAGCATGTGTGTTCTACATTCCTTAACCACAGGAAGAGTAATGAATTATTATTTTTTTAAATATATTTTTATTGATTTCAGAGAGGAAAGGAGAGAGAGAGATAGAAACATCAATGATGAGAATCATTGATTGACTGCCTCCTGCACACCCCCTACTGGGGATAGAACCCACAACCCAGGCATGTGCCCTTGGCAGAAATCAAACCTAGGACCCTTCAGTCCCCAGGCCCACACTCTATCTACTGAGCCAAAACAGCCAGAGCAGGAATTATTTTTTTTTAATAGGCAACTGAGTGCAGAATGTTATACTTTGTATCCAATAGTCACTGGATATAGTTCTTCTGAACAAAAGTCTTTTAGGTTTCTAAGTCTAAATTCCCACATGTTGGATATTGACCAAATAGAATTTATTATTCTCTCCTTCCCTATGTAATTACTTCATTTTCATACAGTTCATAGGTATTAAAATAAACATAAGCCAGAATGTCCAGGGTCTAAATAGATAGTAGTTTGCTTTCCTAACTTCCTAGTCTTATTTACATGGAAACTTATATTAAGAATTGAACTTTGAAGCAATATGTATTTAATGTCAAATATTCAAGTAGAAATGTAATAATTCAGTTAGTTTTCAAATATCTTTTGGTGGTAGTAAATATGTGGAATAGTATAAACTTCAAATGAAATGTTTTAAGATTTGGGGAATAATGGACTAAAATCTTCAGCTTTTGAAATGTAAATAAGAAGAAATTACTATAAAATAAGTGAGTCTAGCCACTGACATAAGTACTTTATTTAAAATCTGTTTCTTATAAGGCTAATGATTTCTTCTATATCTTCATGCAGTCTAATAAAAGGTAGGCTTTAAAAGAAGGGATAAAAATATTACAAATAAGGAAGAAAACTACTCATTTGTATTTTAAATTTCTTCCATGAGAATAATTGATCAAGTAGATAGGTGGGTAGGTAGATGATAGATAGATAGATAGATAGATAGATAGATAGATAGATAGAAGAATATGTTAGTTTTATTAAGAATTTGCTAATCACAAGATAGACATACTTTATAAGAAACAATAGTAATTCCTAAGATTCCAAGATTATCTACTAACTTGGAAAAGAGCCCATAATAATATTCACTTCTTTCCTCTCTTACATATTCTCTAAGAAACTTTTTAAAATTAGTACTTTATTTTCCCAGGAACCTTTATACAAAGATGTCAGACTACAGTAGTTTAGTGATAGAGGCAAAGAAATCAAATTAACAAATTGACATTTAGGCTATAATTCATTTACTTGAATGTTTGATTCAAAGAGTCCTAGAGATGAACTAATAAACTATAAGTTTATAAAACTATAAAGATTATATCTTAAGTATGAATATGTACATGTTGCTGCCTTACAATCCTCAACCAATTTATTCAGTGAGCCCTCCTTATAACAACATGTGTTGTTTGCAATTTAGTTAGAGACAGAGAGACAGAGAGAGAGAGAGAGAAAGAGAGAGAGAGAGAGAGAGAGAGAGAGAGAGAGAGAGAGAGAGAGAACAAGATGTTCACATACCAATTGATAAGAGCATTCTGAAGGTGACTCATTTGGCTTGAGGCTCTTGCAATTCTCTGCAAAATCTAGTAACTCTTTAACTATGGTTTGTACTTCTTCATAAGTGGATTTCTGAAGAAACTGAGCAACCATAATGCTAATGCTGAAACATGACACTGTGAGTGTTAAAGATAGAATTGAATCCTTTTCCACCATCATTCTTGTTATCTCATTGTCCCACTCCACTCCCCCTAAATAATTAATGTGATTTTAAGTTTCAGATAAAAGTATATTGACAATAAAACTCACATGTCTCTTAAGTTCTCCTCCAGTTAATTCTGGCTATTAGAGTGCTGCATGGCTGGGGGGAGAGGGGGAGTGAAGAGAAAGAGGCTTTATATGCATAACCAGAAAATTTCCAAATTGAAATCCTCCTTTACAGTTCTGAAATCTATATTTATTCACTCATAAATTTCTAGAGGAATTTTTGATTATCATAATAAATTAGAAAAATTACTAGAATATATCCTTGCTTGGTATTTAGACTGTATTCTGAGAATGACATTTCTATTCAATATATTGTGCAGTTGAAATCTATCATTGGCCTACAAATGAGTTACATGTACTTATATTGAAATTTCTAAAATAATTGAACTTGATGATTTGGTTATTTAACTCTTTACATTAGAAGAGTTCAATACCACACTAAAAAATATTAAGAAAATTAGAGTTTGCTTCATTTGACAAAAGTAATATCTCACATGTTTGGATTTGCTCGTCATCTTCATCTTATTCATCGCCTCCACTCACCACATTGTTTTCTGTTGAAAACAATGTATTCCTTCTTATACTAATAGCTTCTATAATGCTTAGCAGCTATCTAGTGAGTAAAGAAACCACTATTATTTGCTATATTAACATAGGAAAAGGCTTTAGAGATAGCTATTGTGAGTTCAACTTTGAGCTCTGATCCTTAATGTGGCTTTGAAAAATAAGCTCTCAGAGTTTGTGTTTCTCTATAAAAATGCAAACAAGTTCTATTACACTAGATAGTTGTTCACATTAAATGAAATCATCAGTCTGAAGCACCAAGCATAGTGCCTGGTTCACAATAGGTACTAAATAATGTAGCTCTAATATTATTCTGCTATTATGAATACTTTTGATTTATCTAAAGCCATTTACCAAATTTTAAATGCAAGTTAATCTCTACCTGTGAGTACCTGAGCAAATAATATGACCCTGTCTTAATTTCTCAACAGAGTGAAAATAAGTCTAAAATGAGGTCTTCTTGTGAATTGATTCAATATATTAGCTCTCTTCATTCATTCATTCTATAAGTTAATTTCCAGCAATTTTCAACAACCCAATGACAGTGATGAACATTGAGAAAGAGAAGTGTTTTCATATGCATTTTAGTAGGTCATTACCTCTTACTCTGGGCACATGGAATGTATAAATTGGAAATAGGATTTCCTACCTGCATCTAGTAAACTTCTCTGAAGAGTTTGACATTTAATGTGGCTGAAGAAAGCAAGAAAATATATGAATCTGACAGTCTTCATTTTTTTCAGACAAACTTTTATGGAAGGTGCTCTATCATTTGAGGGAATTGAAGAGTCCCCTTATATAGTTAAACTTTTTTCTGGTGAATATTTAGCCAGGCCACTATGACTTTGATCAAGTCAAAGAATTCATAGCAATGAAGAAATGTTGTTGATGGATAGCCATTCATTAACGAATACTGGATTTTAAAATGAGTTATGTCAATGTACTTGGTTTTTTAATAATACACCATGAAGGCCTTGCAATGAAGTAATCAATAACACTTTGGGTAAATATCTCTTTTCCTGGAAGTATCTGATGACACGGTCAAAGCTCTAAACTGAGGGAAGAAGATAAACATGAACCCACCCCCAATTCAAATAAATGGTTAAGGCCCAAGTTTCAGTACTAGACACCTTTTCAGGCTCCTGAGAAAAGTAGGGAGCACGAGCCTTTGGAGAAAGCACAAGGGAATGGGACCAAACTGATTGATGCTTATTGTAAGCCTGGCGCTAATACCATCCTAGAGGCCCAGTGCAAGAAATCCATGCATGGGTATGTGTGTACGTGTCCTTCAGCCCAGCCCGCACCTCTTCAATCTGGGACCCTTGAGGGATGTCTGACTACCTATTCAGGCTCAATCTTACCAGTAGGATCGCACCTAAATGGGCAGTCGGACATCCCTCTCACAATCCAGGACTGCTGACTCCCAAATACTCTCCTGCCTATCTTTCTGATTGTCCCTAACCGTTTCTGCCTGTCAGCCTGATCACCCCTAACCACTACCCTGCAAGCCTTATTAATGCCTAACTGCTCCCCTGCCAGCCTGATTGCCCCTAACTGCCCTCCCTGCAGACCTGGTCACCCTTAACTGCCTTCCCTGCAGGCCTGGTACCCCCCAACTTTCCTCCTCTGCTGGCCTAATCACCCCTAACTGCCCTCCACTATAGGCGTGATGGCCCCCAACTGCCCTGCCTTGCACGCCTGGTCCCTCCCAATTGCCCTCCCTTGCATATCTGATCCCTCTCAACTGCCCTCCTCTGCTGACCATCTTGTGGTGACAATTTGTGTCCACATGGGAGCAGCCATCTTATGTGTTGGAGTAAAGGTCAATTTGCATATCATTCTTTTATTAGATAGGATAATAGCAATACTCTTTCTTGAATAAGGAATTAAGACAGGGTCATATTATTTGCTCATGCACTCACAGGTAGAGATTAAGGCTTGTCTGACTTCAGAGCCTATACCAGCCAATAGCTAGTATCAAAAGCTGAGGTCCCAACATTCCTCAGCTACTGTCTGCTTGCCTGTCATTGAATTCTTGCATCTAAGGCAGGAAACAGGTAACTACTGATTAAATAAAAATTCTAAAATAAATGTAAAGTCCACATTTTTGTAAATGGGACCTCGCTGATTACCACTTTAATCATTCCTGTCCTCAGTTTCCTCATTTACAGATGAACGGTTTGGATCAGGCCATCTCTAAGGCAGGCAGTCCATTGCTTGATTCTGTTACCCATGTATTCTCATTTCTGGTCTTCTAGGCAAAGTATTGATATATCACAACTGAGAGGTATATTTGTTTAAAAAACAAAGCAAAACTATTATTTAAAATTGGGACACATTGGCTAATGTAAAGAATACTGATGGCCATGTGTGATAGAAAGCCAGGGTCAGCAAATGGAAGTGTGTCTTTGCCAGGTTTCCATCATCATTTTCAGGGTTCTCTAAATAGTCCCAACGCTCAACATTTCTTTAGTCATGCATTCTTAGAGCCCTTCCCTTGAGATCTTACTCTAAACCTCTGGGAACTATCAGAAATGGATCCATTATTCTAGGGATGACATTACTCATTGATGATTTCATTCTTTCTCTCTGAACCTAGATTCAGTCTAAAAATTATTCACAGCACTATGCCATCGGACAGCCACTGTTAACTGATTGGAGTTGGAATTTGTTATATGTGGGGAAAATTCATTAATCTTTCTTAAAAAATTGAATGAAATTAACTTCCCAGGAGAACCATCCTCTCAGAGTAAGACTTTTGAAAACATAAAAAGATGTTAAGCCTGATGGTGGAATTTCAGACCAGAGGAAAGACAAGCAGTTATTTAAGAAAGGGCAAGGAATGAGTTTTGTGACAGGACTCAAAAGACAGCAAATGATTTGTTCCCTAAGAGAGTTAGATCTTCAACCTGACCTTTAATATAAGAAATGGAAGGTGTACAAGTACAGAACACACTGATAATTTTTAACAAATGTTATTTGGACAGCAAACTTAATCCTTGCCCAACTAATGGAAACAGAGTTCGAAGGAACTTCAGAAAAACCATGACTGGATCCCTAGACCCCACCAAAATCCTGGGTGGTGGTTGTTCGTGCACTCATTAGTCTTGACATTCATTAGTGCATCAGGAGGTGTATCACACTTACAAGCATCTCTAGTACCAGAGCATTCTTCCTGCAGCAAGTCTAGGTATGTTCTACTCCTTGATATGGGTTTTGTCTGAACAATACAGAATAAGTGGTTCTGAGTCCTCACTTCTCCATGTAAAATGTGTGTTTTGAATAAACCATTCCTCCCCCTTTTCGCATCACATTGGTCAGTATTAGTTTGTTCTCTAGCACATCAGCAGAGAGTTGTGTGGCAGTTTCCTCTGTGATGAAGAGCCTTGTGGTGGTAACAGGTTTCTGGAGCTCAGATGTCATAGCTGCTGCTCTTAGCATAGTATTGGACACAGAAGAGGATCCACTATTAGATACAATATAGAATTAGCTAATTGTGCTCAGTTTCACTTTTGTTGGCTGAATTTATAATCTATTCTTTACGTAAAACTTTCTTCCTTGTCATCCTCATTAGTAAATAAGTGTTTAGAAAAAATGGCAAAAGGGAAAAATAGCTCCATGAACTGAATACCTATCATCTGCTGGCCACTGTATTAGGGATGTTGTAGTAGAGTGGTTTAATATGTTTCTCTGAAGCCTTTGTGACATAAAGGTTATTCTCCATCCTACCTAAAGCAATGGAGGTCTAGGTTGCAGAGAACTTGTCTGAAGCCGCTAGTATGCAGCAGGTTAATGGCAGTAGGAATTTGAAATTCCCCACCCTCTTCTCACCCTGTATCTTCAGCTTAGACCTGTGCAGTGTGCACCACAGCAGGGCCCTTTTCCCAGCTCTACACCTATGACATGTGTGATTGCTTGCTTATGGACCTTTCCCCCTGCCCAGTAAGACACAAGAACCATGTCTAGTTGGCTCACATTTGTATCCACAATACCTGACACACAATAAGAGTCTGATAAATATTTGTTGAATAAGTGAATAAGAATCCCAAACATTATGCCTTCCATACCATACAAAAAAAACTTTGTGAATAGTCTCAAGTATTATTTATTAAGTGATCATCATCTTCACTTTCATACATTGAAACACTAAAGCCTTAAAAATTAAGAGACTGGTAAGGATAGTCAGACCCTGCACTGATATCGGATCAACCTTCACTTCCTGGCTTTCCAGTTCCTACCACTCCCTCTGCTTAGACATCACTGCCATACACTTACAGCTGCAACAACACAGAAATTTTGGCTTGGGATGGAGGATGAGAAGAGTCACTGTCAGTCTTCCTTCTCTCTAAATAACAGAGTTTATAAGGCATGCAGCATGGCCAGACCTGAGAGGTTGTGTGTACGTGGCTAAGAATATCCTTCTGTAATTAGAGGGCTCAAACTTTGGTTCTGCCTATTATGAGTCATATGACACTGAATGAATTAGTTATCTCCCCAAGCCTCAGATTCCCTACTTGTAAAATAAGAATAGAAATGATGTATACTGCATAGATTGTTAGGATTAAATGCGATGATGCATGAAAAGTACCTAGGGACAGTGTTTGGTACATGGAAAGCATTAAGTGCTAGTTCATAATAGTAGTAGTAGCGGCAGCAGCAATGCTGGGAGCCCTCAACTCCCCTTTTCCTTGCCAATAGCAGCAAGAAGGGAGTCTGTGAGGATTATGCCCACACCTTTGCTATTTGAATCCTTCTGTCTACGGAATAGATTTAGCCAGTGAGCCAGAGATACTGATGGAATAAAACACATGACATCAGTCTTTGAGAAATAACTCTATATTTTGTGTTACAATAACATTTTAGGTAAGTTTTTTTTTTGTTTTTTTTTTACTGTATTCTTCTCAGAAAATGAAATTTCAGGACAGCTGGAAGTGGGTAAATTGGTATTCCTCTCTTTTCTCCACAACCTGGGAAGAAAAAAGAATAGTATCTTATGAAACAAAAGAATGTGAAATATTATAGCTTGGGTGATGGAAAGTCATGTGTATAGAAATAGCTGTGTTCTGCCTTTTGTAGATACAAACCTATTCCTTACAGTGGCCATGTCTCTTTTCCTGGGCATTGAATATCATTGTTATAACTATGCAACATTTTGTTCCTGGAATTTGTATATGAATATCACCTAAAGTGCAGAAGAAATCGCATCTATCTATATATTTTTTTGAAATCACAGCATTGCTTTTTGTTTATGTAAATGCTGCAGTAGGACTCTTGGAACAGGTTGTCTGAGGCCTGCCTGCCATGCCAACCCCTCCTCTCTCTGTCAACATCCAGATATTTGATTGTCTCCCGTTTCTGGTCCAGAGAGCTGAGTGCAACAGCTGAGCCAGAGGAGTGGGTGCCTTTGGGTTATTTAGAAAACTGCTGGACACATATTCTAGAATATGTGACTACATTTGATCTCCAAGGCGGCAGTGCCAGCCCACTAGGAATGGTAGGCACCCAGAGGAACGTCACAGGTTCAATATCAGGGTCTGTTAGTACAAGGCGTGTGGGATAAACCAGAAATAGACCTGGCAGCACGAGGAGAGGGAAGCCGGGACAACCAGAGAAGCTACAAACACATTTGTCATTTGATTGAAATGTTACCTTGCTTGTTCTTTTATATTTCTCAAGAAGCCTGGTTTTTGGCTGCCAATTTTGAACCCTAAGAGGGAGAAACAGAAATAAGTAAGTAAATTAATTAATTAATTAAAATTTAAGACATTATTTAAATTTAGAGAAGCATGATGCCTTGAATTTTGGAAATAAAAATTAAACTATTCACATATTGTGCAGAGAGACAGTGAACACTCTTTCTTCACATGAATTTGAGTCCAGACACCCCAAACCTTTTATGAACTGCCAGTGAATTTATCCCTCCTGTTACGCTGCCTCAGGTACATAGTCACTCGGTTAGATGCTAGATATTGACTTATGCCTCTAATTAAGTTAAACATCTTTAAAAAAAACAAAAAAAAACTAATGACTTGTTTCAAAATAAATTTCTCATAGACTAAGCACTCAATGCAAGCACAGAGGGCTCTCAACCGAAATGAAAGCCGCGGGTGAGTGTGTGTGCGCCTGTGAATGTGCACAATTACCGATTGTGCACAAAGTCAGTGTGTGTGTGAATTGTGAGGAAGGCTGGAGTAGAGTTGGTGTTGCTACGTAAGAAACGGTAAGAAACAATGTTGGCAAAGGGTGAAGAAGTACTTCCAAGGAGCCATCACTGGGCCTGCATTCACAAGAATTGAGGATGCCTGGACACCACAGTGTGTCCATCAGACTGGTCACTGGAGTGAGAAGAAGCAGGACACATGTCCTCTCTTCCCTCGTTCCCTCCTACCCTTACCTCCCACTTCCTCACTTCAAACACATATTTTCTCCACCTAGGGATGGTGGGACAAGGTCAGGAAGGTGAGAGACTTCACATACTAATGCCTGAAAGACTTGACATACTCATGCCCTTTGCATTTGCCTGTGAAGTTGATTAATTTCCTTCCCAAGTCAGTTTGACTGTTGTTTTGTTTTTGTTTTTGTTTTTTGTTTTTGGGTGTGTGTTTTTTTTTGTTTGTTTGTTTGTTTGTTTTAAATAAGGGGTGATTCAAAAAAGAAAAGGGCCCATGGTATAATTAAGGGACAATGATTGCCAACCATCCTTATTTACTGGTGATGAACTGCAGTTCATTCTAAGACGGGTGGCATATGAACTCAGGTTTTCCTAACATCTTTTCTTACACCATGTTGTCACCAAGGAGACAAAGCCAAAACCCTATCAGTGACAGGCTGCATAGTAGCTGTAGAGCAATGACGCCCTCGAAGATGAGCCTCTGAGTCATGGTGGGATGAGTCGGAACCCTGTGGGGAGTTCCATTGCATGTTATTTGACTGGGAACACCGGGAGAATTCCAGGGGAAAATAGAAGTAACTACCTCGTCTTTGAAGCAAGCTTCCGGCTCCTCGGCTTTGCAGCACTCGTCCACTAGGTTAGTGAACTCCTTAAGCGATGACCGCAGCTCCTCATCTGTACGTTCAGGCTTTAGTTTCACTAAATTCACAAGAAACCTGTGACCCAAAGATGTCAAATAGAATTAGTTATTAAAAAAAATTTCTTAAGTTCCTCTTCTCCAAAATGCTTGTCATAGTATCGTATATCTTGGGAAGGGAGGCGTCTCAATTTGAATGAGTATAAAAAATTAAAAGGTTCCGAAATGTTTCTGTTAAATGTTTCTGTTAAACTTATGGAATAGATTTCCATGGTAACATTCTTTATAGGGCTATGTATAGCAAGATAGTATTAAAAAAATGTGAATATATATTATGTCTTCATTATCACGGTATTATAGAATATGTGACTACATTTGATCTTCCTAGAAAAATTTACTTCCACTCCACTATACAGACATTGCCTAAACCTAAAAACTAGTCTATTTATTGACATTTATAGTATTGCCTAAGAAAATAAAAGTAAGATTCCTGTCACTTTTAGGCCTCCCCTTATTTCAAACACTAAGTAAGATTCTCAGGGCATTCTCTCAAGAAAATTTGATTCATTATAATCCTACTAGAAGCCCCGTGCATGGCATTCATACACTGGGGTTGGTGGGAGGTCCCTTCAGCCTGGTCTACACCCTCTCACAGTCCAGAACCTCTCATGGGATGTCCGACTGCTGCTTAAGCCAGCAGTCGGACATCTCCCCCAAGGGGTCCTTAACACTGCTGTGGAGGCCGAAGAGAGTCCCACCACCTCCGCTGTGCATGCCAGCCATGAGCCTGGCTTCTGGCTTCTGGCTGAACAGTGCTCCCCTGTGGGAGCACAATGACTATCAGGGGGTAGCTCCTGCGTTGAGCGTCTTCCCCTGGTGAATCATGGGAACCAGTCATTCTGCAGTTCCGACGATTTTATTATATAGGATAAGCCTTTCTGCTGGGTATCCTAATTCACTTTCCCAACTCACTTTCTGCTGGACACTCCATGTCCACAGCAAAGGAAAAGGCTAGCTAGGTTTCAACATTAAACAATGCAATCAATATGCTCTGGTGTTTTTCTGAGTTGGAGGGACAGGACAGTTTGATAGAATGAAAAGGACTGTAATACTGAAATCACATATCCATTACAATAAACCTTCCCATTAACACACGATGTGTCTTCCCGCTGTAGAAAAAGATGAGTGGAGGAGAATGGTAGTACCTCTCTTTCTTTCTCTGGAGCTCCTCCTTATGTGCCTGACACAAGTCTGTGTGAAACGTGAATAAACCTTGAGAGGCAGATGGAGGCACATATGTTTTATCGGCTTCCAGCGCATCAAAGCAGTGCCTTCTGAAGGCAAAGTTGGTTTTACAACAGTGGTCCACAGCAGGGTTGACGGTTCGATTCTTTACTCCACATACCGCTCCAAGAACTAAATCCACCTGCACCAATGAAAGTTGGAACTCAGATAGGACTTTAAAACTTGAATAGTGCTCTGAAATACGGTTAAGTGAACCATTAAATCGTTATGTGTCCACTGTTAACTTTACTCAGAAAAACCCATGCACGTATAACATGACACTACGCACACAGAAAAGTAGGAGCCGGGGCCCTAAGTGGCATTACATATAACAACATTTCAAGCCACAGCCATGTAAATGCCTAGAGATAGATTGCTTGTTATCACATATACAAATTTGTGATTGTTAGCTGCAAACAGCTAAATGAAAGTGGCAGCCAAACACGGTGGCCCTTAGATTTATGTCTCTCCTGGGATATGTCCCAGGGTACTGTTCACCCCAGCCCTAAAATACTCCCAACTTGCAGTGTTGGTTTGGGAGGGCCAGGGAAACAGCAATTCCCTGACTGACCTGATGGGCAAGAGGGAGACTTTGTAGCATTGCTTAAAATGATAAGGTTTTCTATATCCTTCTGGAACATTATTGTGATTCCTAAAACATTTGTCCTCACAAATTACTTCCATATAAATAAGAGGTAAGAAAGATGATTTGGAGAACTCCAAGAAAATACTTAAGACATTCTCTTTTTCTTCTTAGGATTTGGATTCAGTGAATCAAAAAGAAAACTTGACATTCCTTGTTTAACAATTCCTTAAAAACAATGAAGAGAGGAAAACACATAATTGCTGTAAAGCAATGAGGACATATACAGAGTGTCCTAAATACATATATACACACTTTAATAGCTGATGGCTCAATACCCGTTTCTTTCTTTTCAGCCAGATTAAGCTTTGAATAAAGGAAATTAATCCTAAAATGCTACTGGAAGTTTGAAAATGCAGTTGAAGTACAAATATTGCCTTCATAATTATTCAATGTGTATAAAAATGTAGACACACGCCGCCGAAATAGCTCAGTTGGGAGAAATAGCTGAGTTAGACTGAAAAATGTAGACACACTATAACAACTGGTAACTCACTTAATTTTCACACCTTTTCCGGATTAACTGATTTGAAATAATAGGTGGAGTCAGAATAAGATTTGGGAAAAGACATTTTTTATGGGGACACATAAAAGATAAAGTTTATGGTACAAAACTGGCAACAGTTGGCAAATTGAGGGTGTACAAATACCAAAGGCAATGATTCTTGATGTTTGTGATTCCATTGGTGCGCAATGCCTGGACCAAATGGTCATCAATTTGAAAACAATTGACATTGACAAAACAAAATAATTCAATTTCTGCAGATACTTTTAAATTTTGAAAATGAACTATATGTTAATAAACACTGACTTTATCATCACTTAAAGTGTGTATACATTTTGAGGACATTATGACTATAAGTATCAATTCTGTTTGGTAGGAATAGTTAGGTACATGGGCCATGCTCACCAAATTATCAACGCAGCCAAACTCTTCACTCAGAGTGCAGCAGGTGAGTAAAGCTGTCTCCATTTCCTCGCCAAGAAAGATCAGTTCGTCAGTGGAGAGCTGAGGGGCTATCTTTGTGAATTTGATAAGGTTGCTGAAAGAACATTTGTCTGTTTGGTTCTGAATGAAGCAGATACCATTTTTCCTTGTCTTGCTACTTGAAACCCCAACCCTTTAGATTACAATCAATGCACTAGTAAGGACAATGTGAACCTCAGCTCTCTCACAAAAAGATAGAGAACTGTCTCTTTACCCTGTTTTCCTGCACCCTGCCTTCTAGATCTCTGTATTTTGGTTTCCTTCTAATTTCACGGTAATCTCAGAAACTCTCAAATTTGCCCTTCCTGTTTTACCTGTGAAATGAGGAGCTCCTTGGCAGCAAATACCTTGGCTAGAACGTAAAATCCTGCTTAAAATCCCATGCATGGTAATAAATATTGTAAAGGGATACTTTAATAAATACAAGTGGAAAAGGATAGACTGAAATGAAAGAAATTTAGATATTTAAATGGGCTGAGTGACTTCCCAGCAAATAGCCAGATTGCAGAAATAGTTAAAACATATTTTGGTTGGACTCAGTCTGCTCAGTGTCATCTTATCTCTGGATCCATTTTTGTTCATCAGTTTATGGTGACCATTATACCGCACATATGAGTGAGATCATGTGATATTTATCTTTCTCTGACTGGCTTATTTCACTTAGCATAATGCTCTCCAGTACCATCCAGGTTATTGCAAATGGAAAGAGTTCCTTCTTTTTTTGCAGCCTGGTAGTATGCCATTGTGTAGACATACCACAGTTTTTTTAATTCAATCATCTGCTGATGGGCACTTAGACTGTTTCCAAAGTAAACATATATATTAGCATGACCAATGGACACAGACACTGGGGCAATGGGAGCTTGCCCTCAAGGTTGGGAGTGGCCAGAGGGTGTTACCAGGAAAGAAAGGAGATATGCAATACTTTCTAGGGATGTCGAACTCAATCAGAGAAGGGGCCAAAATCTAAAATCCAGCCTAAATCGCGGGCTGAATGGTTTACTGAACAGTCATAAACTGTCATTGTGATGGAAACGCAGCGGAGTGCAGTGATGACAGCGCGGTGCGGGCCACATTGCAAGGCCTGGCGGGACGGATTTGGCCCGCGGGCCTTGTGTTTGACACATGTGAAACAAACAAAAAACAATATTTTAAGTGTTTTGTTTGATTTGAAGATGTTTGGTTTCAACACACACTAGATTACTATGAAATTCATTAAGAAAATCCAGAATAAGCTGCATATTATCTATGAATGTTCACTAGAGCACTAGAAAATAAATATTAAAGCTTTAAGCAAATCCATAGTTATTTCTACAAACTTAGTAAAATGGGCTTAAATCCTGGCAAACCATCCTTTCCTTGGGAAATTGTAACCACTTAAAGTTTACTTCACCTCACCCTCACCTTCAGATGTGGAAGAATCCAGAAATTCTGGGTTGAGAGTAGGAAAGACAAGTCCAAACAAAAACTAGAGAATTATAGAATCAGTTTCTCCAGAATCCTATATTTCTTTGATTTCTAGCCTCCTTCATGATAAGAGCTTACTATGCTAGCTCAATGTACATTCCTGGCTTTGTGGTTTTATTCTTTCCCAGAGTTTATGAATTCACCATAACTGAATGACTGAACTAAAATGTTGACACTTGGTGGCTCTTTTTATTTTATCCTGGTCACAAGTGTTAACCGATTTGTGCAAACAACTTACTGGTATTTCAAGTCCTCTTGCTTCAAATTATAGAAATGTTCACATTCTCGTTGTACTATTTTGCGGCTTTTCTCAGTTGTCTCATTGAATTTGCTTTCCTGAAAATAAGAACGATTATGTTTATGAATATTTTATTTAAAATTTAATCATAAACTTCACATCAAGTTGTCAAATAGCTTTTTTAATTTATATACTATTTTCAAACCATTATTAGCTTATACTACTCACTAAATCAAGGGTAGTTTTCTTTATATGTGTGTGTGTAAAAATATGTATCTCAATTAATTATAGTTATAAATATTTTTTACTTAAATATGAAAGTCCAAGTTTTTTTTTTATCAGACTTTTATACATTTTTTTAGCTTTCCAGTTTACAAAGTGAAATTCAAATCTCATGGTGATAAGGATTATATTCGATTTTCACTTTAAATAGACAGAGCAGTTGTTAAACTGAACTTGTGAAATAGTGACTTGCCCAGAATGATCCAGCTAATAAGTACTGCTAAAGAATATTTTAAGTCCCATTTACTTTTTTATATTATACCTTCTTTTTCACTAGTTCATGTTGGAAATTAGAACCTCCAAAAGTTGTCTTCAAATACTTTATAAACTCTCTCTCTCATGAGACATAAAATTGGACACTTTCTGAGTCAACACCAGAGAGAAAACTATACACCAATGGGTAGATGCTGTGGGACAAATTGTATCTCCATGTAAAATAAAAAAATTATAGCAGTATGATTCATTTAAGGATCAGAAAAAGACCTCCTCCTTAGGGACAGTGGTAGCTCTGGGTAGAGCTGTACCAAAACTCAAGTCTTCTTACTTCCTTGCTCAAATATAAATGAATATAAACTGGCTTTTATGGCAACTGGAATAATTTTTTTTAAATAAACCAAAAACAGCATATATCAAATGAATGAGAAATAAATCATAAATTTCAAATAATTTTATAATACAAAAAGAGTATATATATATATATATGTATATATATATATATGAATTAATATTAAAAACATGAATTTCAATAGGAAAATGGGTAACTAACATGATTAAATTGTTTATAGAAAACATAATTGTTATAGCTAAAATTATATGGGAAAAGCTTAATTTCATTAAAAAAATCAAAGGTTTGCTTAAAATATATTCACTATATATATATATATATATATATATATATATATATATAGTAAAGTTCATTTTCATGTGCAACATTGGTGAAGGTGAGAATAAAATGAGCATTTTTAAGTATTCTTGTAGGACTATATGTTGGTAAAAACTTTCTAGAAATTAACTAAGTCATTTATATTAAATTTTTATGTCAACATATTTAACCTAATAATTTCTCTTCTAATAATCTATTTTAAGAAAATAACTAATAATAACTATTAATAAAAATGAGTATAAAGATATTTCAGGTTTGCTTATGAGATTAAAAATAACCCTAATAACTAAACATCAAAAATTCCCAACATAGTAGAAAAGCAGTTAAGTAAATTTTTATGATGGTATACCTCTGTTTAAAGAAAAGTAGATTTTAAATTCCATTTAATGACATATTTCTAGAACACTAAATAAAAGCCACATTCAAAAATTCTATCAGAAATATTATTCTAATCTTATTTTGATAAACACTCATATACAGGGTGGGCAAAAGTAGGTTTGAGTGCACAAAACACAGATTATTCTTGTCTTATTATTTATTAATTATTATATTGTTTTCTATATGAACAACTATAAACTATACTTCTGCCCCACCCTGTGCAAGAATATTTTAATTCAAAAGATGAAAGAAATGTTAATTATAACTATTTCTTGGTGATGGAATCAGAAAGTTTGTATATTTTTCTTTGTAACTTATGGTACTTTTGGAATTCTTTTTAATAATCATTTATTACATTTACAATCATAAAAATATTCAATATGATTCAATAAGATACAGAATACATAAATAAAAACACAAATGCAAAGTGTTTAATGGGAAGTTGGTTCATCAACACACAGGATTAATAGTTCATAACATTATACATAACCCACTGATTTTGGTCTTCTTAGTGGTCACCTTGCACTGAATTCAAAGTAGACTCAGATTGATCAATCACATATTCTACACTCTAGACTAAATTAAAGCTTAGATATCAATTTTTATATGTTTGTTGTTTTGATTTGTGGGTTTTGTTTATTCCTCTGGGCCCACGGAATGGAACCTACCATGTTACTGTAACAGTCTGGAGGGTTTTCTGTTTTGCAACACTCTTTCAGGAGGTCATCGTACACACTAGCAATTCTTAAAAGCTCTGGTGTAGACAGTTCTTGATGTCTCCGTGAGTATTCATAAAGAAACCTGTGATGTATAAAGTACCTTGTATATTAGAACTCAGAGAATGAACAAAACACCAAATCCTGCTATTTTTTAGTCTAGTCAGATCTAATATAAGTCTGCTCTCAATGCCATGCCTCCTCTGGTTTGGTCAGGGAGTGATTTAGAAGGGCAATATAACTACAGGCGATCATTTTACCTAAATTCTCTATATTAATGATTTAAATTAACAATGCTTTTACTTAGAGGATAAAATTGTTAGAGCTATTTAGAATTAATTATTAAGATTATTTAATTAATAAAGCATCAGAAATAGTATATCATACCACCAATACTTGAGAAAATACAGGTCATGTATAATTCTGCTGGAAAATGCATTCAGATTTTCAACTAAATATAGTTATAGATATACTTAGTCCTCAAGATAAGTACTATTTTATAGCTGAGGAAACTAAGTCTCTGACCAATTAAGCACCTTGCTATTAATGGAAAAACAGAATTTGAACCTAGTTTCCACATGATGCCTACTTCATTCTTTTTTAAACTATAAAACTCTCCTCTTAAACTCTTCTCAAGAGAACTCTTCTCTAAGTACTCATTTGTTCACAGTCTTCACCTTAAGAAAACATTACCCATTCAAAATAAATTTTAATGGTCTTTCTGTCTTAGCCTGTTATGCTCAGTGGTTAGAGAATCAGCCTATGGACTGAAGAGTCCCAGATTCAATTCTGGCAAGGACAGATACCTAGGTTTCCAGATCCTCCTTGGGCCAGGCCCTGGCCAGGGTGTGTACAGGAGGCAACCAATTGATATGTTTCTCTCACATCAATATTTCTCTCTGTCTTTCCCTCTCTCTCCCTCTCTCTAAAAATCAATATAAAAATCTCCTCAGGTGATCATTTAAATAATATTATCTAATAAAAGAGTAATATAAAAATTGACCCACACTCCAACACATAAGATGGCTGCCGTTGTGTGGTCAAAGATAGCTGCTCCCATGTGGACACAAGATGGCCTCCACAAGATGGCCAGCAGGGGAAGGCAGTTGGAAGAGACCAGGCCTGCAAGGGAGGGCAGTTGGGGGCAATCAAGCCTGCAGGGGAGGGCAATTAGGGGTGACCAGGCCAGCATAGGAGGGAAGTTGGGATCTTCCATGTTTTTTGAGAGCAGTACCTCACAAGAATTTTTGAAGTCCAGGGAACAATTTTTTAACCCTTTTGCTTTGCAGCCTTTGACTGTCTTGATTCATCTTGGTTTTTCTGACATCTCTCCTTTTCCAACTGCCTTCTCAGTCCCATTTGTAGGATATATTCCCATCCCCTAAAGCAGAGTTGATTATCTTTCAGATAACTAAAGGCTCCCTTTAATATCTGACATAAGTCATGGACCTTTCCACAAGAATAAAATTACATCTAAAGCATCACCAAAATGTTACAAACAAAAACCCTTAGAATCCTACCCTAGCTTGGCAGATCCATTGAAGTCTTACATCAAACATTCACACCCAGAAAGACTGCACTTTAAATCTCTATTTCTGACCTAACATGCTCATTGTTGCTCTATCATTTCTCCCTATACTTCAAACGCTATCTATGTTGTGGTGATGATGATGATGAAGAAGAAGAAGAAGAAGAAGAAGGAGGAGGAGGAGGAGGAGGAGGAGGAGGAGGAGGAGGAGGAGGAGGAGGAGGAGGAGGAGGGGGAGATCGTGATGATGATAAAAATTGCTTGCCTTTAGGAAATGCCTCTGCCAGGCTCAAGTGAAATGCATTATATTTATCAGCTGGTTGACTTTAATTTGACTTAGCACCATGACTTGTGAGAAGCAATATATCACAGTGGTTATAACAACAGGAGTCTGGAGTCAGACTACTTGCATTTGAATTCTGGCTCCACTGCATATTAGCTATGTGACTTTAAAGCAATTTACTTAACCTCTGTGCTTCAGTTTCCTTGCTTATAAAATGAGAATAATAAAATATTTTAACCTCAGAGGGTTGTGTGTGTATATATATATGTATATAATAGGTGAGAAGCACTTAAAATTTGCTAAATATTCAATAGCCTGTACCTTCAGTCCAGGCCTCCTTCCAGAGCTCCAGGTTGTCATGCAAAATTTTCTCTTGACAGTTCCAATTAATTATTCTACAGGCACCTCACAGTCAATGTGCATAGATTCAAATATGTTATTAGACTCCCCAAAACTTATTCTTCCCCATACTTTTCATCTCGTTGAATCTGAAAACTACTTAGCCCACCACCTAAGCCCCAAACTGGGATTCATTCCAAATGAAGTTTCAAAAAAATAAATGATTTTGTCCTTCCTCATTCTTTAATGAAAATCCTTCAGCAGCATCTTGTTACTTAGCATATCTGCATGATCTGACCCCTTTCACTTCTTACTACCCTGTGTCTCTCTGCAGATACCTTATTCATAGCCACATATACACCAAGCAGTTTTATACTTCAACCCATGCTCTACCCCCTGGGTTACCAAAATTTCCTCAAGAACTTTCTTCTGATCAAGCTTTTCCAGCAGCCCCAAGTTCAATTGACCACTTCCTTCTTCTCTGCCCTCACATTACTTAGCATATAGTGCAAGGAATAAAAGAACATTTCTTGCACTCATTTATATAAAGTCTGTATCTTCTCTTATTATACTCCCTATTGATGAAAGCTTAATGGAGATATAGAAACCCTCTAATAAACCTAGTAAAGCTCCTGAATTATATTTCATTATCAATAAACTTTGAATGAATGAATGAATGAATGAATATTCCATGAATTTTATAGATGGTAAATTAAAGCACAGAAAGGTTAACTTGTACCAGTGACTCAATCAGGATATATATCTTGTCCCTTTGGTTCCAAGTCCATTAGTTTTGTCTTGAACATATGGGGTGGCATCCTATGACAGTAAAGCCCACAACCTTCTGGAGTCAAATCCTTACTCTGTCATTTTTTTAGCTGTGAATTTTGGGCAAGTTACTGAGCTTCTCTGTACCTCATCTGAAAACATAGGGGGAATCATTTATTTTACATGACCTTGTAAGAATTGAAATAGATAGTGTATATAAAGTATTTAGCCCATTATCTGGCACACACTAAGTATTCAATAAATATTAGTCATCACTATAAAAACACAGTGGAATTTTCTTAAAATTGTGAAAATACCATAATCTACAACCATGATTTTTTAAAATTATATCATACCCAATGATTTAAATGGTGACCATTCTTTCCACCCAAATTAGCCAAAATAGATCAAATCATAAGTTTCTGTTTGCCTTATAAATTTCAATATGGAGTTACATTACTTATCCATGAAGGTTTCTTGGTCAGCATTTCGTTCTTCACACACATTTTTGTCAGTAAATGTTTCTGCTTTTAGAGATAAATCCTTTGGCTTGTCATCTTTATTCTTGTTAATTATACACTGGCCACGCTCTGGTATTTTCATACTACAGCACTCTTTAATTTTGCTAGAGATAGAATCTTGTTTTGAACAAATATGGCTCATAACCTTGCTCTGTAAAAATGAGAAATGAATTTATTTTCCCAACTTTGTTGGGCCTGAATTTTCCTTCATTAATGAAATGCAAAGCCAACCATGAGCATAGCATCTGAAATTGCTTCATTTTGATGGATATAATTTATTTAAATTTTGTATTAATTTAATATACATAAAGTATCATATTAAAATAAGCTTTTTTGCTCAAGATTTTAGATGATATAACTATGAAAAGTAAGCTCTGTTATACAAGTTCATATTTATTGATAAATAGTAGTAATTTAAATACTTTAACCCTATTTCTCTGGTATATTGGCATTTTAAATTCTACATATTGCTTCTTTCCCATAAGAGTTTACCTGTGCTTCAATGAGACCTACCCAAGATATGTTATATCTATAATCCTAGATTTCTTCCATGTGGCCTAAAACTACACTGCCAAGCACATACTAGAAACTCAATAAACATTTGGTAAGTGAAAGAAAGAAAGGTAAACAAATGAACCACTCTAGTAACTACCAGATGAAGACTTCTGAAACATAAAAAACCATTCTACTCATTGTTGTTCTTTTCTGATAGATACTATTAATTTGAAGCTGTTCCAACTATCAAATATGTACAAAATAGAAAAACCTACCCTAGTCTTGCTCCCTGTCCCTCATCCCAATTCTGATCTCCACATAAAGCTGTGGAAATAAGAGAGAGGACGAGGTTATCTTATTTATACATTAGTTAGATATTTTTTATAAGCTGATCTGGCCTCTAATTCCTTCTCCAGACTCTCCATAATGAGGCTGAACGTTGTTTCTACTCTCTATTGCAGTTCACATGAACTTCATCGAGTTCCATGAAAACACCAGGATATTCCAGAGCTCTCTGGTTTTGCTCAAGCTCTTCCTCCTGCCTAGAGTCTTTTTCCGATACTTACTGAGGGTGAAGAATGGGATGCAGCTCTGGGTGGAGGTGAGAAGTGGAATGGGGGTTGGAATCATGTTTTCCATAAACTACATAGAACCAGAGAGCAAGTCTTTGCAAACATATACACATCTCACCTAAGGCCATTATCATTTGAGGCAATACATATCTGGAATTCATATTGTCTGGAATTCATTTCTATTTTGAATGAACAATAATTCAGTTTCTCTTATTTCTCTATAAAGGCATCAAAGAAAATATTAAGAATATAATATGATCCATTTGTCTCAGCTCCAAACTTCATAGAAAAACCTTTAATTATATCTTAATTCAGTACATTATACTTACTATTATAAAATCCACATGCCCATAAACAAACAATATAAAAATAAGTAGCTAATGAGAGAGAAAAAAACATTGCTGTGAGGAACATTGATCAGCTCAAACCCGTAACCTAGGTATGTGCCCTGACCAGGAATTGGTGAATAAGACTATGCTCCAACCAACCACATCACCTAGTCAGGGTAGAATTTGCACTATTAAAGAATATTTCAACATGGTGTTAATGAATGTTCACAAGTATACTTATAAAGTTTTATGTCAAACCCATTTAGCCATATAAAATGAAATCTGCTGAATAATCTAAAAACAATCCCATGTATTAAAAAATAAAAGGTTTTTTGGGGGGGGCATATATTTTTACATTTTACTTTCTTATTATATTTATTTTGTTTTTATTCAACAATATATTAACATTCGCATTCCATTATGGTAAAGTAGCCACACATTAGTGCAACTTTAGGATTAAAAAAAAAAATGGCTGTAAAAATCACTACCTTTACTTGATTTTAGAGAATATTTACCCTGCCACGGATGCAGTACACAGTATCCCCTTCACAGCATCCATCATACTTGGAAGAAACATCTTCTAGAATGGAGGTAAGGTCTTCAAATCCAATCTTGGGGAATTTTTGACTAAGTATAACAAGGTATCTGGAAAGAGAATTGACAAATCACTAAAACATCTTGAACAGCAAGTAAGACAAGAGGGAGTTATTTGATGATACAGTGTAAGTAGCTGCAAAAAAGTATTGGTACCCTTGTTTTTTCACATAAGTCTTTTCCAAATAGCTGTTTATACATTGCATGACCTGCATGACAGCTTTGAAAATCCTAGGCTTATAGTTGAGTCCTATATCAGGACTGAGGATAAAACAACCAGATAGATGTGCTCTCTCCCATAATTTTTACAGCAAAGCTCATCCTGTTAGGACCATCACTTCCAGTTGTGAGCCTATGGTCAGCATAGGTAACCCATCACAGGCCATTGTCCTGCTGATCTACTTGAAATCTCAGAATTTTTCTTAAAACATTGTACTAGCACCATTACTAATTGGTTAGAGCAAGCAATTGAGATAAAATGTATCCATATCAAGTAGTCTTCTAGTCATTAAGGTCAAAGATAGGTAGATATGTCATATTAAAGCACTTGGAGGATTTAGTTCCTTAATTGGGAGCTCTCAGACCAATTCATATTCTCAACTAACCATAAAATATCTCAGAACTAGCCCTCTCTCTTTCTGGGCTCTCCCAACCTCCCAAGTCTTTATCATCCCAACAACACAATGCCCTGGTTCTGAGTTATCCACGTAGACTGAGGAACTAGGAAGAGTATAAATAAAAAGTCATCAACAATTTAACAAAAATGGAACACACACACAAAAAAATACAAGTAGATACTAGATTTGTATAATAACACTCACGTAGATTTTATGGCTTTTGGTCCAAATTTCAAATATGCCCCACACACGGTTTTTTGAAAAGAAGATAATCCTCTTAAGTATATCATGGCACGTATTGCCTGAAGGAGAAAAAGAAAATTCCTTTTCAGCAAGAGCAAAATCCCACTATTCTCTTCTCTCTTGACTACATGTCAGCCAAATTATTCCAAAACTTGCTCAGAAAATTTTTTAAAAATCTATGAGATTTTTATTGTAATAAATTTACATATCAGAAGATATACTCATTTGTGACACATTTGAAAGGTGAGGCCAGTCTTTCTGATAACTACATTGACTTGGTGGGAAGTGAGTCAGGCTATCCACTATGATCTTCTTCTTCTTTACTGGGATGAACCCATGTTAGGGTTAACTAAGAGAAAACTTGCCAAGGATATAGATAAAATGTCAAACTTTACCCTGAATAGTGATTCACTAGAGCTTTCTTGCAATTTGCAAGTAAGACAAAGCCATAAGGGAGACCCTGGAAATGGGTGATTATCTGTCAAGGGTCTCAGGAAATAAGGACTTTTAGATCAGAGCAAGTGGTCAATGGGTTGAAAACTGGTGAAAGTAGGAAGAGGATGGTTATAAATGGTGAACAACTCTTTTGCTATAATTTAATTTTCAATTAAATTGGAAAGTTGGGTGTCTCCTTATCCTTATCCATGAAATAAATGAAATCCCTACCTTTGTCTGAAAGCAGTTAGCTTTGTCTTGTTCTTCACAGCATGTTTTAGTAATCTCCTCAATATGAGCCATGTCTGTTAGAAGAGTGGGGGTGAAAACATAGGGATTCCTTCTAGAAACTTCATAGAGATAGCTATAAAAGAAAAAATAGGAAGGGAAAGAAATGAAAGAATGGTAAAATAGAGAGGGAACAAGAGAAGGGAAAGGAATGATAGAAAAAGACAAGGAGATCAAAGTGTGAAAATCAAAGTACTAAAAAGAAGGACTTCCCATTAGAAATCTTCAATATATGGCAGTGTTATCCAGTCTCCAATAAAAGTGGAGATTATCATTAAATTTACAGTCTTATCATTGAATTTACAGTCTTATCATTGAATTTCCAACTCTAAAATGAGATTGATGAGTTATAATCCTGAACATTGAGATATGGCTATTGCCTTCCCTTCCTATGCTGCCAGATGGTCGGCATCTCTCCTTTCCATGTTTAAAGAACAGCTACCTAGACACACTCCATCTGAGATTCGGAGATCAAGTTCACTTATGTTCAAACAGACTTGTGATTTACAATCTCTGAGTATACAGAAAAAGTGTCTGTTTCTGTAATTACTGTACTACTGAAAACAGAGTTTTGCTAAACAGTTACTGATTTCATCTTTATTCTCAGTAAAAGCTGCACCTTCCCTTGGATGGCAATATTATTTCCTCTACTAGCAATTTTTCACCATGCACACCCTTCTGTTCTAGGGCTTATCACATTAGAAAATACACATCATTAATGAGAAGATCTTGAAAGCAGGTTTCATATCTTATGTTTATATTTTCAACACTGAACACAGAATCTGACACAATAAACACAGGATGAATTAATCACTCAATGAGCACCACTATATTCCTTGGAAATAGATATTAGGTAATCTTTAGCCTAAGGAGATTTCTTCAATTAGATCATTTTTCTATTAAACTTACTGTCTTAGAAAATATTCTCTGTTATTTTTATAAGCCTGGCATTTCACTTCAGGATCCAGAGTAGGAAGAGGAGGTAGAAATCCTACATCATCTTTCTTATTATGGAAGAAACAGAATCTTCTTTCAAAGTCAACTTTATTGCAGCAGTGTGAAAAGTTGTACTTTTGTGGCACCCCCTCCATAGCACATATTGCTTCTAGTAAAGCATCATTCTGGACAACAGAGAGGAAAAAGACATTTTTAATTCAGTGTATACTTTCTCACCATTTTGAAATGATGCAATGATTAGTGAGCATCCCCCTTTCAGGAAAATATTGCAATTTTCCCAACTTCAACAGCTAAGGATATTGACCTACACCTTTGACAACCATCCCTTTGGCAAACTTTCAGGAAACTTTTTCTATCCTATCCTGAGGCTCTCTAACCTCGTACTTTTTATTTGCTGCTTATAAATCCCTTGCATAACAGTGTTTTTCCACCTCTCCCAAGGTGATGAGCTCAGAGTGTGAGTGTATTGGTAAAGTATTTAGCAGAGGTGTTTAGTAATACTTTTTTAGAGATGCAGATGGTGATTTGGTGCAGGAAAGGCCGGGAAAAGAGGGGGTGATAGTAGAGTACACATTGAGAGAGGCAAGAAGGAGGGTACCTCCGTACTTCTCTGAGCTTTGCCAGGCTCTGGTTGCCCTGTAACTTTATGTATACAGCCTGGACTGCGAGCTCATGATCAGGTCCTCTTGTGCATCATAATACAGAATTGCACCTCTCCTAGGAAACTGCCTTATCCCAAATACCAGTCAAAATAAAACAAGGGCATATAGTATTTTTATTTTAAATTTTTCAGGTCAAAAATTCTGTGTTGACAAATAATCTTGTTTATTTATGAAATGGAAATAAGTTACTTACAGCTAATTTTGAACACTGAGGGAGTTTCCTGTTGGCCAAGCATTGATCTCTGTATTCTGTCATGGCTTTTACCAACATTTCGACTTCCTCAAATGATGCCTCCTGAACATATTGAGCAAATGAAATGGTGGTGCTGCAACAGTCCAAACAGAGTACACAATGATTACCTGCAGAATTTCCATGAATGTCCAACAAACTCATAGGGACATCCACTTGTTGACTAACCTCAGGAAATTATCAAAGTGTAAGGCTACAAATTGTACAACTTCTTGACAATTCAATGACCTCATCTGAATTTTATGATTAATACTATATTTACTTTTTTATATGGTTTCTATTTAGTTAAATTACAATACTTTTAAGAAGTACTAACAGTTCTGGAATATATCAGATTAGATTATAATAAACATCATCATCATCAAAAAGACATTAGAGAAACTCACAGATATCCAACATTGTCCTCTATAAATTTCTGGGTAACTTTAAAATTATCTGAAAAGCAAAGATATTAAAATTATAAAATATCCTGGTATTTTTTTTAACAGTTTCCCAATAACTATATAGGTTATTTAAGTTCACAAAGTATAAAAGAGAGAACTAATGGTAGAAAATATTTTGGTATATTTAACAAGAAGAAAAAAGTCATATGAACCAAATATGGGATCTTAATCACATCTGATTGTTTTTCAAGATACATTCATTAAATTGAATTGATTTTGAATTCATCTCAAACTGACCAGACTAAATTTGCCATTGATGGCTTCCCAGTCACAAATGTCAAATACAAGCACCACTTCTGTGTTAAGTATTTATCATGTAAGACTATAAAAGTAATGTGAAGGTAAACTGATTGATGATGTAATATTACAATACAGCCAAACAAGTGCTGCCATGGCAATGTTGATGTCAGTAGGGTTTACAGTGCTAGCCAGACATACTTATTTAGGTGATCTCTGGACTAATCTTAGGTCATCGATTCCCTCCCAATGAGCATAATCCAAGCACATTTATATTTGTCCACAACGACTACTTTTACAGAGTCCTTACTTTTACAAAATATTGAGCTGTACATTATGAGACAACCAATGATGACCCATCCTTGGACATCAGGTTCCTAAGTACTCTCACAGTACAAGTGACTCATGAACATGATTATGTATAATGCAACTTAAAATGTATATGGCAGCATATTGGTTAGACAATCATTTACTTTACAAAACATTCCCCCCAATATTTCCAGTACCCATCTGACACCATACAGTTATCACAATATTATTGAATATTTTCTCTATGCTGCAGTTTATATCCCCATGACTTATTCATACCTACCAATTTGTACTTCTTAATCCCATTATACTATACACCTGAAACTAATACAAAATGATATTGAGTGTAAACTATAATTAAAAAATAAATAAATAAAATGTATATGACATTCTAAAATAAGGTGGGTAAGTATCAAAAAGGCATGCTTTATGATCCCTGGGTGAGTAACTAAAAATGGATTATGGGAGGTGTGACATATGAGTTGAATCTGAAAAAAAAGAAGTACAATATTTCAGCTAACAGAAAAATAAGGAGACTCATCTTTCTGTGTAGATAGAATAATGTTGATACAAATGTGAGACATTTTGGTATGTTTTTAAGGAAAGTCAATGAATCCACTTTGATGAGAACATTGGCGATAAAGAAGAAGAATGGAACCTAAAATATAATAGAAAGGACCTGGGTCCAGACTATGGTAGTCTTGCATAGAAAGCTGTGTTTGGGCTGAAATTGGAAGCCATAAAGAGCCATTGAAATGTTTATCTGAAATTATTATTTCTTTATTCTATATGCTAAGAAAAACCAGCTGGGATCTCCCACAGTGACTAATAAATAGAAAGTGACAAGAACTATGTCAAACAGAGGGACAGAGGAGTGAATGAATGGATAGAAAAATTTTTTTAAAAAATCACCCCAAAAAAGCAAAACCACCAGGAGATTTTTATTGAGAAATCAACAGGACATTGATTTTAGTAGGATAATAGAAATACAAAGAAAAACATAGGTGCAAAAGATATCAGAGACAAAAATCAATAGCATTTTTGAACAAGTTGTTACAAGGGGCAAATGAGAATGAAAACTCAAGAATGACCACTCTTGTTCAAGCCTTGTGACTGGGTCTCACTCGCAGGCACTGTGGGCTATCAAACTGAGTAAGACACACTCCTCATCTTCAGGCCATTATGTACATTATGTAGCAATCAAAACACTTACTGCATCTTTGTGCAAGTTACAAAAAGGCACTCTTTTCAGGCCAAAGAAATTACAACAAGATACCTCCTCTGATCAGATTAAGTTCAAAAATTTCCCCTTTGGACAGAAGAAATATAAATGTCACCCTTTCATCCAAAAGGTCACTCCTTGGCCAGGTTTGTGAGCAGGGGGATGTACAGGTTTGGGGAGATTTAGAAACTATATAGTTGAAAGAAGCAGGGCCCAGAATACCTTAAAGGTATTTTTTACCCTGTTGGAAATATGTTGAACAACTAAAGGTTCCAGAAAAATCCCAACTCAAATTTAATGTTCGCTTTTACTATACACTATCCACATTTGTGAGAAATGTGAATATTTTCAAATCCAAATTATCTCCCAGCAATACTTTCCATACTAACATAAGACTAGGTTTCTGTCTGTGGAATGGGTACTATGATCACCAAAATACAAAATCTGGAATAATTTTGCATATTCAATCAGTATATACAAGCTAACAAGGGCAAAGGAGAGAAAAAAAAAAAAGAACACAAATAAAAATTAAGTTGAAAGAATACAGGTTAAAAAAAATAGAAATTACCCCAACTTAGGCATTCCTTAGCTAATATATTATACAAGTAAATTTCTTACCATCTTGAGGCTTTGTGGGTAAGTTTAGGCATTCAGTCAAAAAGAACAATAAAACAATAAAGCTGGTAAGTTTTAATTGTCCCATTTCTTTAGAAATCGCATTCACAAAGGAAAGTAATGTGATTGAGGAAAATCAAGTTTTTATATCATTCTCCAGCACTACTAGTAAAAAAGTAACCTGTTTGACCTCATATTTGGTTGCTACTCAACCACATTGCAGAACGTTTGCTAATTATTAATTAGGAAAAAATTATGTGTTTTACTGGAAAAAGAATCTATTGAGTTAGAAAAAAGTCCATAGAGCAAGTATGCACAATACCTAATCAAATAAATAACCAAAAAAAATTGAAATATTGTGAATGCTAAGAAAAAAAAAAAAGAACTAAAGTAAATAATTCACCAAACACAACTAGGGGAATGTTAAATTTTGTTGGTAATCAAAGGAAGTCAAATTTAACAGTAATAATTTTTATACCTGATAGAATTAAGAAAAATAAAACAATTAAAATATTCTGGTAAACATATAGCAAAACAGGTACCCATATATTCAAAGCTTTTGAAAAACAAGTTTATAAGGATTAATAGTCTTAAAAATATTTGTTATTTGAACCAATCACTCAAATTTGAATAAATATATTTATTAAGAACATGATCCTAAATATGGAACTATTTTAAAGTATATGATTAAAAATAAATAAATAAATAAAAAAGCTAACAAATCAGGTGTTAATGAGAAGAGTAACAGTGTAAGCAACTGGGTGCAATCTTACTGGGAATTGTCCAAGATGTGGAAGATTTCCTAGAATCATCCTTTTAGAGGAATGGGAAGCTGAGGAATTTATCCACTGGCTGAGGTTAATTTGTATACCCACTCTGATTGGCTATGGGCATAGTGGAGGTATGGTCAATTTACATGTTTCTCTACTATTAGGTAAGTTGACTAAAGTACTAGGTTATACATTGTGGCCTTGTTTGCTATAGTAGAAGAATGGAAATAATCCAAATGTCCATCAATAGAAGGGTGGTTAAGAAAATATAGATATACACACGAAGAGATTTTATGAAGCTGTTTTTAAAATTTTAGGGGGAAAATTATGCATAATATTGAGTGATTGTCAGGATTACATTTTTAAATGTAAAAAGCCAGGTCTAGAGCAACATTTGAAATATGTAACCACTCTATAATAAAGATAGAATGGTGTAATAGGAACATATTTATATACATATTTGCTTAGATATGAAAAATAAAGAACAGGTAGATTAAATAGAACTAAGTAGAGGTATTATTTATAGGAGAAAGGGAGAACAGGAGAGAAGGGATAGATTCTTAATCAGTTTAGGGTTCTCTAACAAAATGCCTTAAACTTGGTGGCTTTTAAACCACAGAAATATATTTCTTACAGTTCTGGAAGCTGGAAATGTGAGATTACCCCTCAACATGTTCAAATTCTATGAGAGCTCTCTTCTGGGTTATAGGTAGGTGGCTGACTTCTGGTTGTATCCTCAGGAGTGAGAAGGCTGGGGAAAGGGGGTATCAGGCCTCATGAGTTGGAAAATATTTCTTTCTCTTCAATTTTTTGGAAGAGTTTTTGTATAATTGGAATTATTTCTTCTTTAAATGTTTAGGAGAATTTACCAGTTAAGCCTGCAGGTTTCTTTATTTAAATAACCTTAATGAAATTTTTCATTTCTTTAACAGATACAGAATTAATCAGATTATATTTTTTTTTTCTGGAGTGACCTTTGGTAATTTGTGTCTTTTGAGGCATTTGTCCATTTCATCTGAGTAATCAAATTTATTGGAAAAATATTTTTCAAAATACTCTCTTATTATTATTCCTAGGGGCCCAGTATATGACTTCATATAACTTGAAAGGAACTGTGGGCAGCAAAGCTGCGGTGGGCAAAGGGGCAGGTATTGGCCCATCCTCCATACACCTACCCAGCCTCTCCCACCGTGGCCTCCCAGGCCCTTGTCTGCCAGCAGCCCCACTCCTGCCACCACTGCTGCTCCCACATGCTGATGGTGCCCGCCCCATTCACACCCCAGAGTGGGAGCAAAGAATTTTCAGCTCTTTGCTTCTATGGCTCATGAGTTCTTTAGAAATTATAGATTTATAATAGTTCATGAACATTTTGGGGTTTCCAGAAACCCCACTATCATTTATTACCAATTTAATCCCATGCTATCAAGCAATTCTCTAAAATCTCACTTAACTCTCTTTGAGGAAGACAAATTCCTTACATGGTAATCCATGATTCCTTATATAAGTGGGCGAGACGGAGCAGGGAAAAGTTTGGGAGAACTCATTCTTTTTCTTTTCTTGCTCAATTTTATTTTTTACTAGTGGCCCAGTGCACGAAATTTATGCACATTATAAGGGAATTAATTAGAGGAAATATTTTAATATTGCTATTTGTCCTTTCTCTATAATAGAAGTGTCAGAGATGAAAGAAAATTAGTAAAATATATATGAAAATCTTCCTTTTGTCAGAGTCTGGAGCATGTTGGGGGACCCAGAGTCAAGTCCCTGCCCACCCATGGGTGCATCGAAATTGTACAAGTCCCAGACCTGGCCAGTCCACCCCCATTGGATGAGATCCAGACCTGGCTGGCTCCAACCCTGTCAAGCCCCACTGAACAGGGGGCACAGCATCAAGTCTGCTGGCCCAATGCTGGGCAGGAAGCACAGCCTCAGGTCCCCCATCAAGCCTCACCGGTTGGGGAGTGCAGCCTCAGGTCCCTCAGGCCAGTACCGGGGGGGGGGGGGGGGCGGTGCAGCCTGAGACCCCTAGTCAAGCCCCACTGGGCAGGGGGCATAGCTTCAGGTCCCCTGCCCTGAGCCGGCACCATGCAGCCTCAGGTCCCTCATCATCACTCATTATAGGAACCCTGCCTCTGCTGTGGGAACAACCATCTTATGATATTATGATGGTTAATTTGCATATTACCTCTTTATTATGTTGGGTTAGTTTCAGGTGTACAGTTTAGCAGTTAGACAATCATATGCTTTTCATAGCATTCCTTCTGCTATTTCCAGTACCCACCTGGCACCATAGATAGTTATTTCAATACTAGAGGCCTGGTGCATGAAATTTGTGCACAGGGGAGGGGGGAGGGTATACCTCAGACCAGTCTTCACCCTCTCTAATCTGGGACAACCCTCTCACAATCCAGGACTGCTGGTTCCCAACTGCTCATTTGCCTGCCTTCCTGATTGCCCCTAACCACTTCTGACTGCCGGCCTGATCACACTCCCATGCCAGCCTGATTGATGTCTAACTGCTCCCCTGCCAGCCTGTTTGCCCACAATTTCCCTCCTCTGCTGGCCTGGTCACCCCTAACTGCCCTCCCCTGCAGGCCTGGTCCCTCCCAACTGCCCTCCCCTGCTGACCATCTTGTGGTGGCTATCTTGTATCCACATGGGGGCAGGATCTTTGACCGCATGGGGGCAGCCATGATGTGTGTTGGAGTGATGGTCAATCTGCATATTACTCTTTTATTAAATAGGATAGAGACCTGGTGCATTGGTGGGGGCCAGTTGGTTTTCCCTGAAGGGTGTCCCGGATCAGGGTGGGGGTTCCCTTGAGGCATGGGGAAGCCTGGGTGAGGGGCCTGTGGTGGTTTGCAGGCCGGCCATGCCCTGTAGCAACCCAATCTGAGGCCCTGGTATCTGGAATTTATTTACCTTCTACAATTGAAACTTTGTAGCCTGGAGAGGAGCCAAGCCTTCTGCTTGCTCCTTGGCTGCCTCCATTTCTGTTTGAATTTGTTTACCTTGTATAATTGAAACTTTGTAGCCTTGAGTGGAGGCTTAGGCCAGCAAGTGCAGGTGGAAAGCTTGGCTTCTTCCATTGCCTAGGAAACCCAAGCCTCTCTCCTGCGGTCTGTGGCTGCAGCAATCTTGGTTGGGGTTAATTTGCATACTCACTCTGATTGACAGGTGGGCATGGCTGGTGAGAGTGGCTTGTTAGTGTATCAGAGGTATGGCCAATTTGCATATTACTCATTTATTGGATAAGATTATTAACCATATTTCTTTTTTTCTTTTTTTAAAAATTTTTTTTAAATAATATATATTTTTTAAATTTCTTTATTGATTAAGGTATTACATATTTGTCCTCAACCCCCCATTCCAATGTCCCACCCCTCTCCACTCATGCCCCCACCCTCCTATTGTCCTTAACCACTGATTAGGCTCATATGTATGCACATAAGTCGTTTGGTTGATCTCTCCCTTTTATCTCCACCCTCCCTTTGAGGTCCAACAGTCTGGCCCATGGCTCCTTATCTCTGGGTCTGTTCTTGTTCAGCAGTCTATGTTGTTCACCATTTCCCCTAGATGAGTGAGATCATGTCCTACTGGAAATATAAGAATAAAAAAATGAGACAATCGGTAATCATTATGCTGAAAGGCATATGAATCAGTCTGTAGTGAGTTTCTTTCTGTGTCAACAGTTCTTTTGAGACCCAATTTCAATGTCAAACAGTTCCTTATGTGTACATGTCAGCAATGATATTTCAGTTCTGGATGGTGGACAAATGGTGGTAATGCAATCCAACCCTCTCTGGTTTGGTTCTGGGCAACCTGCAGTGATTCACAGTTGCTGACTGCTATTATGGCAAGGTGTCATCAGTGTCTTCCATCTCTGGACTGCTTCTTTTCTGTCTTCGTGGTTGGAGTAGTCCTGTCATTTCCTCTCTGTTGCCAGAATTTACATGGTCTCAGAGTTGTTTTCTGAAAATATACAAACATATTCTTGACCAAAAGTTAATAAAGGAATATTTTCTATAAATTTGATTTGAGATCCTTTTTCATTTTTTTGCTCAAATGATTTTTCTCTGGCTTGTTTTGACATCATGTGTGTTTTTCATGGGTGTTTTGTTGTTAGTATTACAATTAATTTTCTAAAATACAAGTTTTCTAGATGTAATTTACTTTCAGGATATTTTTCCTTACATGATATTCTTCTACCTTCCCCCCTTTTTTTTATTTAAATAGTAGGAGGCTTTTGAAAATTTTATAATGTAGTCTTGATAGCTATTTCTTATGCTGTAGTTTATAACCTCTTGACTATTTTGTATCTACCAATTTGTACTTTTTTAAAGTATTTTTATTTTTATCTTTATTGTTGAAAGTATTACACGTGTCCTATTTGTTTGTCTGTTTGTTTGCTTGCTT